TCTGACTTGGCACCTAGGCCTCACCTGGGGTTGGCTGGTGGTAGCTGGGTACTATAGCCTGGGGCCCATCAGCACATCCAACCCCCCATCTGACCTCCCCACCCCCTGCAGCTCCACCACTTCCCCTCCCCCACTGGGTGCTAAACACCTGTGAGTGTGACCTTGACCTGTGACCTGTGACTGCTGCTTCTGGCTTCTGCTGCTGCTGCTTAGTCCTTCTGGGGGTGGGGGCAGAGGGACTCCATGCTGGATGGGGCCGTATCTCAGCCAGTCTGGAGGGGAGGCCCCTGCACTGGAGCTGGAGGGTGTCCGAGGCTGAGGCTGGTGTGAGCCTTGGCCCTCCCACCCTTCCCAAGAGAGCCAAGCCCAACCCTCCCTCTGGAGCAGAGAGAGGGGTCACCTGCATGAGAAAGGAACCAGGCAACCCTCTCCACCCTCTCTAGGCCCCACCCCCACCTGCTCAAGGCCAGAGAAGTACCTGGAGGTGCCCAACCGGAAACTGCACATGTCCATGTGGGGAGGTGGGTGGACACACACCAGTGTGTGCTGGGGGCTGAGGGACAGGCTTTGTGCGTTGTAGGAAGGTGTGTGAGACACCTGGTGAGAATGAACACAGGCAAATGGGGAAGGAAAGGAATACTCTGTGTGTGTGTGTGTGTGTATGTGACATCCAGTGTGTAGGCCGGGTGAGGTGGTTTACGCCTGTGATCCTAGCACTCTGGGAGGCTGAGGCGGGCAGATTGCTCGAGGCAGGTCAGGAGTTTGAAACCAGCCTGAGCAAGAGCGAGACCCTATCTCTACTATAAATAGAAAGAAATGAATTGGCCAACTATTATGTATAAAATAATTAGCCGGGCTCAGTGGCACATGCCTGTAGTCCCAGCTAGTCGGGAGGCTGAGGTAGCAGGTAGCAGGATTGCTTGAGCCCAGGAGTTTGAGGTTGTTGTGAACTAGGCTGACGCCATGGCACTGTAGCCTGGGCAACAAAGTGAGACTGTCTCAAAAAAAAAAAAAACCAACAAAAAAACCATCCAGTGTGTAAATGTAGGGGGAACGTCCATCTAATGTGTTCAAGTAGGGGGGGACATCCAGCCTTGCAGATGAGGGGGACATCCAGGGTGTGCAGGCAGGTGTGTGTATTTATGCACCTTCATGATGGAGAACTGGAATCCCCACTGTGTGGGCACATGTGTGTCCAGTCGCAGGTTGCTGTTAAGATGAGCCCAGAGACGCCTGTCTGGGGTCTTCTGTTCCTTCCTGGGCATGAGCCTGCGTGGGCTGGTCAGGGCTGGATGATTTTGTCTGAAGAGCTTAAAATAGCTGGAGTATCCTGAGCTCCCCCCCCCATGCCCCTGCTGGGCCTGGGGCCTCAATGGCCCTTTGTCTCTCTGAAGGCATCCCCGCCCCAGTGGGGGGCTCAGGCCGGCCTGGGGCTGGGCGGGGCCAGGCTGCCTGCCTGTTCCCCAGCGGGCGGTGAGCCTCATCCCACAGTTGGTCTGGGCCAGCCAGGCCCCCCTCCTGTGAGCATTCAGACCAGCCTGCTGGGACCCCATTGCTGGCAGGTCCCAGGGTCTGTGCAGGGGGCACAGTTCCCAGGCAGTGTCTGAGGCCTCCCCTGTGAGCCCTGCCCCCTACTTCCACGTTGGTTCTGTGCCCCCTCCCCCTGCAGAGCGCACCCCCCCTTACAGGTGGCAGCATCAGCCTAGCGTGTGTGTGTGTGTGTGTGTGTGTGTGTGTGTGTGTGTGTGTATGTGTGGTGGGCGTTGCCAGGGGTTGGACTGTGGCACTGTACCTGGGGAACATGTGTGTCAACCGCCCTGGGCTCTCCCCAACAGGTCCTTTTCTCCTGCTAAGCCCTGCCCTGGGGAGATAAAAGGTCAGACCCTGCCCTGGGTGCTCAGGAAGCCAGCATGGCTGGACACTGTCATCATGGTGTAGACAGTGCCAAGGTCCAGCAGGGTGGGGGGGTGGGGCAGTAGCTCCCCTCAGAAAGGGCGAGGCTGGTGGGGGGAGGGGAGTAGTATAATGGGTTGCTGCTCTGGACTTTGTTTACATCGGTTTCCCTGCACGGTTTCATTAGGACACTGGTTCCAGGGCCCCCAGGAAACGTGAAGACCTCCAGCCTGGGTGATGGGCAGGGTGGCTCCTGTGTGGGATGTGGCGCCTGTACCTAGCTGTGGGACAGAAAGGAGTCCAAGGAGAGGGAACTCGCAAGCTAGGGTCGCACCGCTGGGATGGGATGAAGGGACTTGGGAGGAGGAAGGTGGGGCTCCTGGAGAAGCCCACCTGCCCAAGAGGACTGAGCAGGGTGGAGGCAGCAGGGACAGGGAAGGACCCTGGAGGGTCCAGATGGAGGCGCTGGGGGTGGGAAGTACTGGTTCCAGGGCTGGGGCAGATGGCCCCCCAGGAGGCGGGTGTGGTCAGCGCTGCTTTCCCAGGATGGACCCAGGAGGCCTGAGCCTGGCCAGGGCTGGCACTGGCGGCCCAGGCAACCTGCTGGCCGCGGTGTGTGGGGTGCGAGTGCCGCCGGCTGTGGCAGGGGGCTGGGAGGGGTCCCGCGGCCTGAGAGGACTTGCTTCCCCCCAGAGAAACCTCCCAGGCTCAAATGGAGGTGGCTCAGGCGCCGGGGTCATTGCAGGGACACTGGGCGTGTGACCAGGTCCGGGCTGGAAGGGGCTGCGGAGGAGGGCGGGCGGGCGTCTCTCTCGAAGGGCTGCAGGTGGCGGAGAGGGTGCGGGGCGAAAGTCCTGGTCACGGGTGGAGTGGGGGGTGGTCACCTAAGCGCTCCTGGCTGAGGAAGGTGGAAGTGACTGTTTTGGACAGTGGGGGTGGCGTGCGGGACCCTCGCCGACCTCTTGGAGCCCCCGCGCTTGGAGGGACCAGGGAAAGGGGCGACCTCCGCCGAGTATGTAGAAGTGGGACTGGAGAACGGGGGAGGGGCAGGGGCGCCCGCCCCCGCCGTGACGTCACGGCCCCGGCGTTCCCTGCGGCCTCTGGGGGGCGCTCCAGGCTCACGGGACCTGCCGGGAGTCCCGGCGGCTATTTGCATATGGCTTATTTCTTAGGGTCATTTGCATGTTCCCTCACCACCCTGAAGGGAGCTAGGGGTGTGCGGGCAGCTTGGGGTGCAGCTTGGGGTGCCGCTCTCAGTTCGTAGAGGAGGGGTGGGCGAGGCGACCTCTGGCCCCGTCATTTCAGCCCCCCTCGGGTTTCCCCGGGGCCGGGGAAGCGCTCGCGCGCACACTCACCACGACACGCGCACCGGCGCGCGCGGCCCGAGCGGGTCCTCCAGCCCGGTCCTCCGTGCTGGGCCCGCACGGGGAATCCGATTACCCCGCGGAGGCCCCGCCGAGCACCCGGGTCCCGCCCCAGCCCTCATCCCCGGCCACAGCTCTCCCAGCCCCCGCCCTCGCCGCGCACCCCAGCGCCCCCAGCCCCGGCCAAGCCCCGCATCCCAGCGCGCCCGCCCGGCCTCAGCCGCACCCCGCCGCCACCCGGCCGCGCGCCCAGCCCAGCTCCGCACCCAGCGCCCCCGCCCGCACCCCCAGTCCTGCCGCGCACTGCAGCGCCCCCAGCCCGGGCCCCGCCCCGCACCTCAGCGTCCCCAGCCCGCTCCCGCCCTGTACCCCAGTGCCCCTCGCCCCGCACCCCGGCGTCCCCATCCCCGGCCCCAGCCCTTTTGTGCCGCGCTCTCCTGGCCGTGCCGCGTCCTCGTCCGCCGACCCTCTCTGCTCCGCGAGCTGCAACTCCCCGCGGACGCCTGGGTCCCCGGAGGCGGCTTCCTTTGTCTGCGCTCCCCGCCCTCCTCCGCGGCGCCCTCGCCCCTCACTCACCGCCCCAGCCCGTGAGGGCGAGGGGATCCGCGGGAGGCGCTTTATTCTGCCTCCTGTTCGCTGCCATCGCCGCTCCGCCTCTGCCAGGGAAGAGCCGCCCAGACCCTCCTTCCCTGCCGCCGCGGACCCCTCCAGCCGGCGCCGGGCCCCAGGGGCTCTGGCGGGAGAGCTGCTGGCTGGGCCTGGGGTGTGGACCGCAGGAGTGGCTGCCTCCGCGTCCAAATTGGGGATTCTACTCCCGGATCATTCTACACATCTCTGATAATGAGCCTGGAGAGCTCCGGAGGGGGCCTGGCGCCCCTGCCTGGGGCTGGGGCTGAACTCTGAGCACAGGTGCTGTCCGCTGCCCCGGGGGTCCCAGAATGGGGACAGTAGCCCTGAAGAGGCCCAAAGGCACTCCGTGAGGACCCCCGCGCCCCAGGAGAGGGGCTGAGGAGCCCAGGCCATGCCTCCACTGCCACTGGAGCGGGACCCCCGGCAGCAGCCTGGTGTCTCCCTGCTGGTGCGCTACTTCACCATCCCGTGCAACGTCTGCCTCATCCTGCTGGCCACGTCCACACTGGGCTTTGCGGCGCTGCTGTTCCTCAACACCTGTATGTGGCTGCCGGGTGTGGCCGCCCCACCTGCCCAGGGGGCTACTTCTGCTGGCCGAGCTCCACCTGCTGCAAGGGCTGGAGGGCATGCCGGGTGCTGAGTGGCTAGGGGCTGTGACATGGCTCGGGCGGGCCACCTGCACCCTCTGGGGCTGGGATGTGTTCCTTGAGGAGCCCTGGGCCTCTGGAGGCCTGCCCTTGAGGTCTTGGTGGGGTTGACCCTCACCCTGAGCCTCCGAAGCATTCCTGGTGGGAGTTGGGGGCGGAGGGGCAGCTGGCTACTTTGGGAGGCATGGGGGGAGGGGCTGGGCTGGACTCCTCTAGGGAAGCAGGTAGCTGCCAGCACCCCAGCTGCTGGGGCCCCACCTCATAGGGTCAGGCCATGACCATGCAGCTGCGGGTGGGGAGCAGAGAAGAGCTAGGGCTGCTGCCTCCCGGCCTCCCCAGCCTGATGTCTGGGGCTGGGCTGGGAGGGACACGGGAGGGCACGGTGCTCCTTCCAGGCCAGGCGAAGGGACCTGATAGGGAAAGGTCTGCTCAGAGGGGCCTAACTCGGAGATTTGTTTTTTCCCAGACAAACCCGGGACTCACTTTACCCCAGCAGCTCCGACGCCCGCCGATGGTGAGTGGGGCCGAGCTTGGGGGTGTCGGGTGGGCTGTGGCATACTTGTGGGTCAGGGGCTACTGGGCAAGTGTGGTCGCTGTGTCTGGAAAGGGAAGAGGCCGGGCTGGAGAGTCTGGTCCTCCTTCCTGGGGGCCTGGGCGCTCAGGCCTGGGCGCACAGATGTGTGGCTCTGTCTTTTCTGGGCCTCAGCGGCCTCAGCCTCAGAAGTGGGACAAGCCCTGGAACCAGCAGATTGCACTGATGTCAGACAGTGTGCAGGGTGGTGGTGGGAGTTTGCGGGTTGGGGCAGTGGGGTCAGTCTGGTTGGGGGCTTCCTTTCCTTTGTCCGCCTCCCTGGTGAGGAAGGGGTGGGGCTGGACAGAGGCTGAAGGTGGACAGGCACACGTGGGGAGGCGGTCGGGGGGGCTGCACAGGAGGGCGCCAGGCTGCCGACAGCTGTGTGAGGAGGGGCCGAGTGGGCGACACTGTAAGGGCGGGTGCGCCCGGGAAGCGGTGGGCCAGTGCTGCCGACCCGCCCTGTGGGCTGGGGCCTGGCCTCCCCAAGGGGGGCTGCTGGTGTGTGGGCCACAGCAGCCAGGGTGGTGTGAGGGAAAGTGAGGAAGTGGTTAGGGCTGCTCAGAGCAGGGATGGGAGGGAGCCCGGGCTCCTCTCTAGCCCATGGGGAAGTCCCTGCCCCATCGCTGGGTCCCCTGGTGGGCAGGTACCTGTGCAGGTGCACAGAAGCCACATCTACAGGGCTGTCTGTACGTGAGGCGGGGCTGTGGGTCTGTCCTGATCAGGACTTGGGGTAGGACGATGGCATGGGGGCTCCTGCAGCGGTTGGGGGTGGGGACTGCGGGTCTCGTTCTGGGGCCACGAGCTTTCCCTGGATGGGTCCCTGGGTAGCACAGGTAGTCTGGGCCCCTTCCTGGGTCTTGGGAGTGCTGGGAGGTAAGAGAGAGGGGCAGGAGGTGCTCAGGCCTCTGAGAGGAGGGAGTGGCTGGGCACCCAGGAGCAGCAGCTGGGTTCAGGGGCACAGGGTTGAAGGGCTCTCCTGTGTCCAGGTGGGGGTCACCTGTGGCCAGCTGCAAGGTGCTCTCTGGCACCCTTGGCTGATGGGCTCCTGGTCCCAGGGACCCTGGCCAGGGTCTGCACCGGGGGTGGGGGGGACCGAGGGGTGGTAGCTGTGAGGGTTCCACTGTAGCCCTGAGTTCTGGCCCTGCAGTGATCTCCTATGTTGGCCCCCAGCCCTGGCCCCAACAGCCACACTCAGCCTCGGGCTGTTCCCACAAGATCCTTAGGGCCCCTCTGAGCAACCAGCCCCTCCTGGGTTGTGGGCAGGGGAGACCTGTCTGCATGGCCAGGGTGCTTGGGGCCAGAGTGGCCTTGCAGGGGTGTGAGCCTGTGGCCCCCAAGGAGCCTCCACCTGGGGGGTTGCTGTTCCCCCTCCTAAGACACAGAAGCCCTTTGGGTGTGTGGCCTGAGGTATTTGGGAGGCATGGAGTTTCAGGAACCTGTGGAAGCCTGCTTGCCCCACAAGACCCTCCCCCTCCTGACAACCCCTGGACTGGGGGCAGGAGGCTGTGACTTAAATAAGCCCCCCCATCTCTTAGGAAGGGGCCCAAGCCCTCCCAGTGGGACAGGCCACGTGGAGAAGGAAGGTGTTTGCTGGGCTGGGGCTAGGGACTGAGTTCCAGAGCCTGTGGGCAAGGGGCTTGGAGCCACCTGGATTTAAAGACCCGCCTGGGGTGGGAGGTCACTCTCCCCCCCTGCAATATCCTCAGCCCCCTCTCCGGAAGCCCAGAGGCTGGTGAGCTATGGGACCCACTGCTGCACACCTGGGTCCCACATCCACACCCCACCCCACTGCACACTCACGGACGGCTACACGCCGAGGCCATGGCCATTGATACGTGTCTAGCTGTGGCCACGGGCAGGGCTGGGGCATCAGCTCCCTCCCCCAACCCACCCGAGACCAGAGAGGGAGTTAAATATACCCGAACGGGCAGCTATAAAAAGCCACTGCCGCCTCCAGCGATGCTGCGTATCGCGAGGGGGGCTTGGGCACGCAGCAGAAGGGATTGCGTGGGGGGCTGAGTGGCTTGGGGGGAGGCTCCCACAGGAGGCCGAGCCAGGGCAGGCGCGGCAGAGGTGCACCCCAGGGCGCTCCTGCAGCTGACCCGTCAGGGACTCGGGGCTCATGGGTGCCCAGGTGTGCCACTCGCGTGGCTGAGGCTGCGCAGGCAGCGACCAGGCGCACAGACTGGGTCTGAGCCCAGCTCTGCCGTCTGGTAGCAGCAGCGTGGCTCTGCCAGGGGCCTCAGCTTCCCCACCCCGCCGAGGGGCTGGAGGGGTCCCGTGGGGGGTGGGAGGGTGGCACGCAGTGGTGCCTGACGCACACAGGCGTGGCTGCTGTGACAGGCTGTGCCTGCGCCTGTGTGAAGCCGTGCACGTGCAGTGCACGTGTGGACATGTGTACCTGCGTGCTGCTGAAGTCTGGTCTGAGCCAGGACAGGGGCGGCGGAAGCCGAGGACAGTTCTCATCCCTGCACTTAGCGTGGTGGCCGACACGCCACATAGTGCTATGTTTGGGCCCCTCTTGCAAGTCACCCCCAGCCTGACCCCTACTGCTCCTGTGCACAGGAGGGGACACTGAGGCACAGCAGCGTGACAAGCTGCGGGGTCACGTGGTGGGTGGAGATAGAGTGGGTGGAGGAGTGGCAGGGGGCGGGCACCATGGGGGGTACAGAGGGGCGGGTGCCGGGGCCCCTGTTCACTCAGCCTTCTGGGGTGGGGTGGGGACACCAGACAGACACCACCAGAGCCTGGGGTGGGCCGTTGCCATGGCAACAACTGGCTCCAGCTCCCATTGTGCCCCCCCTGCTTCGAGTTGGGGGGCTTCCTCCTGCCCCACTTCCTACGCCTGCTGGGAGGCGAAGGGACAGCCGTCCTGCCCCCTTTGCCATGACTTATTAATGATAATGGGACCCAGTTAAACATTTACTAGGTCCAGACAGCTGCAACCTGTCCCTCTCCCTTGCTGTGCTCCTGCGGCTGTCCCAGGGGCTGTCCCGAGTGGCTCTGGGGTCACCCGTCTGCCTGCTTTCTTACCCTGAGCATGGGGACTGACTGCTGGCCCCTCCCTGAGCACCCCCGTCTGCACATGGGGAGCGGCCCCTGCACAGGCCGAGGTTGAGGTCCCCTGATAGGGCGTGTGCCGGGCACTGTGGTCTGCAGTGTCAACCACTAGCGTGTTAAAGACCAGAGTGACATACAAAGACTGAGATTAATGCAAAAAAAAAAAGTAATAAAATATTAAATTAATAAAAAAATTTAAAAATTAAAAAAAAAAAGACCAGAGTGACAAGTGCAGCTGCACAGCATCCCTGAGAAGGTCACCGCTGACAGGCTGGGGGTGGGGTCAGACAGTGGGAGAGGAGAGGCAGCGTCAGCACCTGAGCAGAGCAGGGCTGGGGAGGCCGGGGTTGGGAGGATGGAGGGGTGAAGACAGGCCCTGGGGGCCCAGTGGGTCAGGAGGGAGGGAATAGCTGGCCTGAGACCTGGCCTTGGCCCCTCACCTGGGCGGGCCCTCCGGGGAGGTGGCAGCAGTGCCCAGGGTCCGGAGGTTGTGCCGCCTGGGTGCTGAGGGTATCAGGTGAGGGGCTCTGGTGCTGACCTGGGCAGGGTTGTGGTGGAGATGGCACTTGGGGGGGTTCCCCATCTCGGTGGACACAGGCACAGGCTGGTACAAGCTGGGTTGGGGAACGGGGAGGATGTTCCCCACCCTCCGTGCTGGGGGCCGTGAGCGTGGCCGTGGGTGAGCACGCACACTGGTGGGCGCCGGTGGCTGTGTGCGTGGGGGGCGTTAATTAACAAAAGACGGGCACTGCGTGGTCACGCGGGCGGTGGGTGTGGGCTCAGGTGTCCTGGCGGTCGGTCCTGACCAGACCCTCCCTCCCCATCCCACTCGCAGCGTGCCGGGGAATGCTGTGTGGCTTCGGCGCCGTGTGCGAGCCCAGCGCTGAGGGGCCGGGCCGGGCCGCCTGCGTGTGCAAGAAGAGCGCCTGCCCCAGCGTGGTGGCGCCCGTGTGCGGCTCCGACGCCTCCACCTACAGCAGCGAGTGTGAGCTGCAGCGGGCGCAGTGCACCCAGCAGCGGCGCATCCGCCTGCTCAGCCGCGGGCCCTGCGGTGGGTGCCCTGGGGGGCGGGGTAGGCCCTGCGGCGGGCGTGACCTGGGGGCGTGGCCTGCAGTGGGCGTGGCCCGAGGGCCTGGTGTGACCTGCACCCAACCCACCAACAGGGTCCCGGGACCCCTGTGCCAATGTGACCTGCAGCTTCGGCAGCACCTGTGCGCGCTCGGCCGATGGGCAGTCGGCCTCCTGCCTGTGCCCCACCACCTGCCGGGGCGCCCCTGAGGGCACCGTGTGTGGCAGCGACGGCGCCGACTACCCCAGCGAGTGCCAGCTCCTGCGCCGCGCCTGCGCCAGGCAGGAAAACATCTTAAAGAAGTTCGACGGCCCTTGCGGTGAGTGCCACGCGGTCGCAGCCAGCGCTGCGCGCGTCAAGACGACAGCCCCTGACTCCTGCGCTTTCGGCCCCCAGACCCCTGCCAGGGCGCCCTCGCGGACCTGAGCCGCAGCTGCCGTGTGAACCCGCGCACGCGGCGCCCGGAGATGCTCCTGCGGCCGGAGAGCTGCCCTGCGCGGCAGGTGCCTGTGTGTGGGGACGACGGCGTCACCTACGACAACGACTGCGTCATGGGCCGCGTGGGCGCTGCCCGCGGCCTCCTCCTCCAGAAAGTGCGGTCCGGCCAGTGCCAGCCTCAAGGTGGGGGCTCCCGGGGAGGCCCTCCCCTGCACGCTGGGTGCCCTCCCCCCCAGTGTAGCCCCAGCCAGGCTGGCGGGGGCTCTAGCCTCTCTGTGACACCTGCGCCCACCCCCAGACCAGTGCCCGGAGCCCTGCCGCTTCAACGCAGTGTGCCTGTCCCGCCGGGGCCGCCACCACTGCTCCTGCGACCGTGTTACCTGTGACGGCGCCTACAGGCCTGTGTGTGCCCAGGACGGGCACACGTATGACAACGACTGCTGGCGCCAGCAGGCCGAATGTCGGCAGCAGCGAGCCATACCCACCAGGCACCGGGGCCCGTGTGGTGAGCGCCTGTGGGTGGGGTCCAGGCTGGGGGCGGCTGGTCTTGCATCGGTCCCTGTCCTGACATCACACACCATCTTCATCCCTTGTCATGCTCCTTCCGGGGTCCTGGGCGAGGGCTGGTCTCTCTGGGGGGCTTTGGCGGGGGCTGGAGGCCGTGGGGAGGGTGCCTGGGACGGGGTGGGCGGAGGTGGGGCCTCGTGCAGTCTCCCTGGTCCCTCGGTCTCCCTACAGTGTTCCTGGCCACGACACTGGGGTCCCAGACTCCTGGGGCTCACGCAGCCCCCAGCCCCCTGAGAGGCAGGGTCCCGGTCAGAATTTGAGGGTCCAGTGGGGGGGTGGCAGCGCCCATGTGTCCGGAGGGGTCGGCTGCCGTGTCTCCGACTGCCTCTGTCCGTTGTGGTCAGTGCCCCGTCTTCCTGGCCTCTCTTCCTGCGTCTGTCTCCTGTCTTCGGTCCTTTCCTCCCTGTCGGCTCCGCCTCTTGTGTCTTCCAGCCTGACCACTGGCAGGAGGAGGCGCCGCGCCCGCCCGCCCGGAGTCGGCGGCCCGAGGTCTGCCCCGGCGCGGCAGGGGGGTGGCTCGCTGCTGCCTGGCCTGTGGTCCTCAGAGCACGTGGGCAGACACCACCGCCCCCCGCGGCCCCGGGCGTGACTCGGGGTGCAGACTTCTCCCGCCCACGGAGGGAGCCCCCACACCCCCGCGTGTCCCGTGGCTGCTGGGGGTCGGTGGCAGGGCGGGCGGTCGTGAGCAGCCCGCGCACACTCCTGGGGCCGCCTGGGCCCGCGTCCCTGTCCGCCTGTGTCGTGTCTGTCCCTTCTCTGCCGTGTCCTGCATCCGGCCCTTCTCCCTGTTCGCTCTTCCTCCGCCATCCCCACCCTGGGCAGGGACTGCTGCGCGGGGCTGGGGCTCGGCCCGGACGAGGGGGGCGCAGGGGCCCGCTGAGCGCCCATGTCCCCCCCAGACCAGGCCCCGTCGCCGTGCCGCGGGGTGCAGTGCGCGTTCGGGGCGACGTGTGCGGTGAAGAACGGGCAGGCGGCCTGCGAGTGCCAGCAGGCGTGCTTGGGCGCCTACGATCCGGTATGCGGCAGCGACGGCGTCACGTATGGCAGCGCGTGCGAGCTGGAGGCCACGGCCTGCACCCTCGGGCAGGAGATCCGGGTGGCCCGCAGAGGACCCTGTGGTCAGTGGCGGGCGGGTGGATCTGGGGCGGGGGCGGGACGGCGCGCGCGGTCGCCTTGGTGACGGAGCCCCTCCCCAGACCGCTGTGGCCAGTGCCGCTTCGGAGCCCTGTGCGAGGCCGAGACCGGGCGCTGCGTGTGCCCCTCGGAGTGCGTGGCCTCCGCCCAGCCCGTGTGTGGTTCTGACGGGCACACGTATGCCAGCGAGTGTGAGCTGCACGTCCACGCCTGCACACGCCAGATCAGCCTGCACGTGGCCTCGGCGGGACGCTGCCGTGAGTGGGGCTGGGGGGCCAGGCGGGCCGGGGCCCCTGCTCCCCCCGCCAGGGCCTGCAGACCCCTGCCTGGCTCTTCCTCCCGCAGAGACCTGTGGGGACACCGTGTGCGCCTTCGGGGCAGTGTGCTCCGCGGGGCAGTGCGTGTGTCCCCGGTGCGAGCGCCCCCCGCCGGGCCCCGTGTGCGGCAGTGACAGCGTCACCTACGCCAGCGCGTGCGAGCTCCGGGAAGCCGCCTGCCGCCAGCAGAGGCAGATCGAGGAGGCCCGGGCGGGGCCGTGCGAGCAGGGTAGGTCCAGGGCGTGGCTGGCGTGAGCCCTGGGCACCGGCCTCGGGCCAGGACCCCGCGGTGACGCGGTCCCCGCCCCCGCAGCCGAGTGTGGCTCCGGAGGCTCCGGCTCGGGCGAGGACGGCGAGTGTGAGCAGGAGCTGTGCCGGCAGCGCGGCGGCGTCTGGGACGAGGACTCGGAGGACGGGCCCTGCATCTGTGACTTCAGCTGCCAGAGTGTCCCGCGGAGCCCGGTGAGCCCCGGCCCCGCGGCGCCAGGCGGGTGGAGCGGAGGGGCTGTGGCTGCCCCACTGACTGCCCCCTCCAGGTGTGCGGCTCCGACGGCGTCACCTACGGCACCGAGTGCGACCTGAAGAAGGCCAGGTGCGAGTCGCAGCAGGAGCTGTACGTCGCGGCCCAGGGAGCCTGCCAAGGTGCGTGGGCGCCGGGGCGCGCAGTGCGGCAGCCTCTGCTCCTGTGCGCGCGCTCGCACGCGGCGGCGTAGGCTGGTTTGTGCAGGCCCGGCTCGTGTGTGTGGTGCGTGTCCCTGTCTGAGCAGCGTGGCGTGTGGGTGCGTGTGCGACAGGCCCCTGCCGGGCACCCGGCCGGGCTCCGTGTTGGGGGGGCTCCGCCCTCAGGGTTTTTCTCTCCTGTGGGGCGAAACTGGCTGTGATCCAATAAATGCGTCAAATTTGTTACAAGTTTATGCTCACGCGTGTACATGGATGCGTGTCTGCACGGGGCGAGCGTGTGGGAACACGGGCAAGCGTGCGTGTCTTGGTTGCGTGTGAGCCAGCTGGCACTGACGCTTTCTCGGTGTACACTGGGTTGCGTCCATGATTTGGGGAATTCTGCGTACGCGGGGCCCTGTGTGTTTTGTGGGTCCTGCTCCTGCGTTTACAGACGTGTCTTCACGTGTGATTTGGTGGCCTCACCTGTGACCTCAGCCCTCGGCTCCCAGGCCCGGGTGGGAGCGGGCGTTGGGCTGGACAGTTGTGGCTGAGGTTGGCGGAGTGGCTGGGCCAGGCGGCATCCAGCATTGCGCAATGTCTGAGCCCTGTGCCCTTCCCCGCAGCCCCCACCTTGGCCCCGCTGCTGCCCGCGGCCCCCGCACACTGCGCCCAGACCCCCTACGGCTGCTGCCAGGACAACGTCACTGCTGCCCGGGGCGTGGGCCTGGCCGGCTGCCCTAGTGAGTACCGCGCTGGGCCGACCCCCGGCCAACCTGGGCAGCCGAGCGGCGCGTGACTCCGTCCTGCCCCGGCCCTGCAGGTGTGTGTCAGTGCAACCCCCACGGCTCCTACGGCGGCACCTGCGACGCCGCCACGGGACAGTGCTCCTGCCGGCCCGGCGTGGGCGGCCTCCGGTGTGACCGCTGCGAGCCCAGTTTCTGGAACTTCCGGGGAATCGTCACCGATGGCCGGAGCGGCTGCACCCGTGAGTGACGGGGCCCAGGGCTGTGCCCCGGCGCTGTGCCGTCCTCTCACCTGCTCAGGCCCCGGCCTCACGCGCACCTGGCTGGGGCTGGGCGGTGCTGGGGTGCGGGCCGGGCTCTGGGGGGCTGCCCAGTGTGGACACATGGTCTCCCCCAGCCTGCAGCTGCGACCCGCAGGGCGCCGTGCGGGACGACTGTGAGCAGATGACCGGGCTGTGCTCCTGTAAGCCTGGCGTGGCCGGTCCCAAGTGCGGGCAGTGTCCGGATGGCCGCGCCCTGGGTCCCGCCGGCTGCGAAGCAGGTGAGGAGGGCGAGGGCTGGTGCGGACCCAGGGCTTCCTGCGTGGGGCGGGGCCTCTTGAGCTGGCGGGTTCCCGTGTCTGTGCGCAGCCCCTGCGGCGGGCGGGACCTGTGCGGACATGCGCTGTGAGTTCGGTGCGACCTGCGCGGAGGAGGCTGGCTCCGCCCACTGCGCCTGCCCTACGCTCGCCTGCCCCGAGGCCAACGCCACCAAGGTGAGGGGGCGCGCCGTGGGGGGTCGGCGGGGCGAGGCCTCGCCCGAGCATCCTTCCTCTGTGCCCAGGTCTGCGGGTCGGACGGAATCACCTACGGCAACGAGTGCCAGCTGAGGACCATCGCCTGCCGCCAGGGCCTGCTCATCTCCGTCCGGAGCCTTGGCCCGTGCCAGGGTGAGGCCCACGGCCGCCACCCAGAGCTGACCGGGAAGCCTGGCCCTTCCCTGCCCCTGGCCCCTGCAGCTGGCTCCACCGCACCCCTCTCCTTGCAGAGACTCCTGGCGCCCGCCCGACACTTGCGCCGGTGACCAGCTCGGGGCTAGTCCTGAACGAGGCGCTGCCGCCGCCCCCACCCAGCGCCCTCCCCCTGGCTCCCGGCAGTACCTCCCACAGCCGGCCTACCCGTCCACCCCCGCCACGGCCTCGGACCACTGCCAGCGTCCCCAGGACCCCCGTGCGGCCCGTGCTGACCGTGCCCCCAACGGCACCCTCCCCTGCACCCAGCCTCGCCACGTCAGCCTTTGCTGAGTCCGGCAGCGCTGACGGGAGTGGAGACCAGGAGCTGAGTGGGGACCAGGAGGCCAGCGGGGGAGGCTCTGGAGGTGAGCAGGGCACGGGGCACAGGGGCAGTTCTGGGGTGAGAGGTCTGGGGCGAGCAGGTGTGGGGTGAGCAGGTCAGGGGTGAGCAGGACTCTGGGGCGAGCAGGTGTGGGGTGAGCAGGACTCTGGGGTGAGCAGGACTCTGGGGTGAGCAGGTCTGGGGTGAGCAGGACTCTGGGGTGAACAGGACTCTGGGGTGAGAGGTCAGGGGTGAGCAGGACTCTGGGGTGAGCAGGACTCTGGGGTGAGAGGTCAGGGTTGAGCAGGACTCTGGGATGAGCAGGACTCTGGGGTGAGCAGGACTCTGGGGTGAGCAGGACTCTGGGGTGAGAGGTCAGGGTTGAGCAGGACTCTGGGATGAGCAGGACTCTGGGGTGAGCAGGACTCTGGGATGAGCAGGTCTGGGGTGAGTAGGACTCTGGGATGAGAGGTCTGGGGTGAGCAGGACTCTGGGAGCAGGTCTGGGGTGAGCAGGACTCTGGGGTGAGCAGGACTCTGGGGTGAGCAGGACTCTGGGGTGGGAGGTCTAGGGTGAGCAGGTCTGGGATAAGCAGGACTCTGGGATGAGAGGTCTGGGATGAGCAGGTCTAGGATGAGCAGGACTCTGGGGTGAGCAGGACTTTGGGGTGAGCATGACTCTGGGGTGAGCAGGACTCTGCGGTGAGCAGGTCTGGGGTAAGCATGACTCTGGGATGAGCAGGTCAGGGGTGAGCAGGACTCTGGGGTGAGCAGGTCTGGGGTGAGTAGGACTCTGGGATGAGAGGTCAGGGGTGAGCAGGACTCTGGGGTGAGAGGTCTGGGGTGAGCAGGACTCTGGGGTGAGCAGGTCTGGGGTGAGCAGGACTCTGGGGTGAGCAGGACTCTGGGGTGAGCAGGACTCTGGGGTGGGAGGTCTAGGGTGAGCAGGTCTGGGATGAGCAGGACTCTGGGATGAGAGGTCTGGGGTGAGCAGGTCTAGGATGAGCATGACTCTGGGGTGAGCAGGACTTTGGGATGAGCATGACTCTGGGGTGAGCAGGACTCTGCGGTGAGCAGGTCTGGGGTAAGCATGACTCTGGGGTGAGCAGGTCAGGGGTGAGCAGGACTCTGGGGTGAGCAGGTCTAGGGTGAGCAGGACTCTGGGGTGAGCAGGTCTAGGGTGAGCAGGACTCTGGGGTGAGAGGTCTGGGGTGAGCAGGACTCTGGGGTGAGCAGGACTCTGGGGTGAGCAGGTCTGGGGTGAGCAGGTCTGAGGTCAGCAAGACTCTGGGGTGAGCAGGTCTGGGGTGAGCAGGACTCAGGGGTGAGCAGGTCTGGGGTGAGCAGGACTCTGGGGTGAGGTCTGGGGTACATGGGGCACAAGCATGTCTGGGGTGAGCAGGATTCTGTGGTGAGCAGGTCTGGGGTGCGAGGGGCACAGGCAGGTCTGGGGTGAGCAGGACTCTGGGGCACGGGGTGTGGGGGCAGGTCTGGGGTGAGAAGGTCTGGGGTGCGCAGGGCGCGGGACGCAGCCAGGTGGGCAGGCCCAGGAGAGCCTCCCCCTGGGGCTGGGCTGAGACCGCGCCTCCCCAGGACTTGAGCCTCCTGAGGGCAGTGGCGTGGTGACCCTTGGGCCGCCCGTGGAGCGGGCTTCCTGCTATAACTCGCCTTTGGGCTGCTGCTCGGATGGGAAGACACCCTCGCTGGACGCGGAGGGCTCCAACTGCCCTGGTGAGTGGGTGGCCGGAGGCAGGTAGAGTGAGGACCAGCCTGGACATGGCCGGGGTGCCCTCCCCACCCCCGGGCAGCAGGTCGGTACCGAGGGCGATGGTCTTGGGGATTCGGCACACAGGCACACGTGTGGTCTCGGTCCCTGCACACACGTGTGCTCGGGACCTGTGCCTAACCCGTCTCTCTCGCTGCAAGCCGGCCTGGGCGCTGCTCCGAGGAGTCCGCCTGGTAACTGACGCCAGCCCTGCCCTGGGGTCCCCACTAACCTCACGACCATCTGACTAACATCCACCTGCCCTGTGCCTGCGCGTCTTGCTGCTGGGGCCTGGGCCGGGGGCCGGGTGGGGCCCGGAGGTCCTCACTGCCCGTCCCCTGCAGCCACCAAGGCGTTCCAGGGCGTGCTGGAGCTCGAGGGGGTCGAGGGCCAGGAACTGTTCTACACGCCTGAGATGGCCGACCCCAAGTCGGAGCTGTTCGGGGAGACGGCCAGGAGCATTGAGAGCGCGGTGAGTGGGGCTTGGGGTGCGGGGCAGCCTGCCCGGCCACCGGCTTCCCCCGGGACAGACCAGAGCAGCACTGGGGCGTGGGGACCAGCTCCAGCAGGACCTGGGCGGCCCCCGAGTCACTGCCTCCTCCCTGCCCACAGCTAGACGACCTCTTCCGGAACTCAGATGTCAAGAAGGACTTCCGGAGTGTCCGCCTGCGCGACCTGGGGCCTGGCAGGTCGGTCCGAGCCATCGTGGACGTGCACTTCGACCCCAGTGAGCCTCCCCTGGGTGTCTGGGAGGCAGTGGGGGGCTGCAGGGGAGCCGCCTGCGTGCTCAGAGCCCCTCCTCCCCAGCCACAACCGTCCGGGCACCCGACGTGGGCCGTGCCCTGCTGCGGCAGATCCAGGCGTCCCGGCGCCGGGCCCTGGGGGTGAGGCGCCCGCTGCAGGAGCACGTGCGGTTCATGGACTTCGGTGAGCCCCCGTGTCCCGCCCGCCCCCGTCTCCCTCGCCCAGCAGACCCTGACGGTTACCCCCACCCTCAGACTGGTTTCCTGCCTTCTTCACGGGAGCCACTGCCGCCGTGGCCACGGCCAGAGCCACCACTGTGGCCCGCCTGCCTTCTGCAGTGACCCCGCGGGCCCTGTACCCCAGTCACACCAGCCGGCCAGTCGGCAAAACCACCGCCCTGCCCACCACGCGCCGGCCGCCCACCACCGCCCCCAGCCGCGTGCCCGGACGCCGGCCTCTGCCCGCAGGGCCCCAGCTGTCCTCAAGGGCCTGTGACTCCCAGCCCTGCCTCCACGGGGGCACCTGCCAGGAGCAGGACTCAGGTGGGGACTTCAGCTGCAGCTGCCCAGAGGGCAGGGCCGGCACTGTCTGTGAGAAGGGTAAGGGTGTCGCCCGGGAAGGGCTGGAGCTGGGTCCTCGGTGCTTCCCCAGCCAACGCTCCGTCTCTCTACAGCGCTGCGCACCCCGGTGCCGGCCTTTGGGGGCCGCTCCTTCCTGGCCTTCCCCACTCTCCGTGCCTACCACACGCTGCGCCTGGCGCTGGAATTCCGCGCGCTGGAGCCCCAGGGGCTGCTGCTCTATAACGGCAATGCGCGAGGCAAGGACTTCCTGGCACTGGTGCTGCAGGGTGGCCGCGTGCAGCTCAGGTGGGCACTGCTGGGGCTCATGGGGGAGGGGGCGGGTGCTGGGGTGCAGCTCCGGAAGCCAGCTGGGTGCAGCTCAGGAGGGCAAAGTGGGTGCAACTCCAGGCAGCTGGGTGGGTGCAGCTCAGGGGGACCAGGGGTGCAGCTTCGGGGGTGCAGCTCAGAGGGTCCTGGTGGGTGCAGTTCAAGGGGGGTGAGGGGATGTAGCTCAGGGGGGCCAGGGGATGCAGCTCAGGATGGATGGGAGGTGCAGCCTGGGGGCATGGTGGGTGCAGCTCAGAGGATCCAGGTGGGTGTAGCTCAAGGGGGTGGGGCAGCTGGGGGGGGAGCGGGCCAGGGGGTGCAGCTCACGGGGGAGGGGGGAGGATGTGGCTGGGGGGGGCAGGTGTGTGTAGCTCAGGGAGCCAAGTGGGTGCAGCTCATGAGGGCTGCTGGGTGCATGGGGGCTGTGCGGCTCACAGGGGCCGAGCACAGGGGGAGCTGGCAGAGCTGGGGGGGCAGGGCTCGGGGACAGGCCAGGCCAGTGGTCCTGAGCACTGCTCCTGCCCCAGGTTTGACACGGGCTCCGGGCCTGCAGTGCTGACCAGCACGGTGCCCATAGAGCCCGGCCGCTGGCACCGCCTGGAGCTGTCGCGGCACTGGCGCCGGGGCACGCTCTCGGTGGACGGTGAGACGCCCGTTCTGGGTGAGAGCCCCAGGGGCACCGACGGCCTCAACCTGGACACAGACCTGTTCGTGGGTGGCGTCCCTGAGGACCAGGCTGCCGTGTGAGCACCGCGGGTGGCCTGGCTCTGCCCTCTGGCTGCTTGCAGGGGCATCCGGGAGGCCCAGGCAGCCTTGCGAATAGCCCAGGGGGGAGGGCGTTGCCCCCTTTATGTCCCTGTGGCAGTGACCCTGCTCCCAACCCTGTCTGGCTGTGGGGGGCGCCAGTGGCTGGGGAGGGGCTGGCCCCAGCCGCAGCCCCACTCCTGGCCCGTCCTACTTGGGCCCAGCCACCTCCTAAGCAGCAGAGGGGCTGGGAATGGGGGTGTCCCTGAGCCCGGCCCTGGCCTGTCTGGGACGCGTGTCCTGAGCGGCCACCCCTGGCCCCTGGCCCCTGACCCCCAACCCCTTCCTGGCGGCAGGGTGCTGGAGCGGACCGCCGTGGGCACCGGCCTGAGGGGCTGCATTCGCTTGCTGGACGTCAACAACCAGCGGCTGGAGCTGGGCGGAGCTGCGGCCCAGGGCTCCGGTGTGGGCGAGTGCGGGGAACACCCCTGCCTGCCCAACCCCTGCCGCGACGGGGCGCCGTGCCAGGCCCTGCAGGCCGGCATGTTCCACTGCCAGTGCCCACCTGGCCGCTTCGGTGAGGGCGGGGTCCGGCCTGGGTGCTGGGGCGGTCCGCGTGTCTGTGAGGGGTCTCACGCCTCTTGGGACCCCCATCCCGTCTTCCTCCCTCCAGGCCCGACCTGCGCAGAGGAGAAGAGCCCCTGTCAGCCGAACCCCTGCCACGGGGCAGCCCCCTGCCACGTGCTGCCCGAGGGCAGGGCTGCGTGCGAGTGCCCCCTGGGCCGTGGGGGTGCCCTCTGCCAGATAGGTGGGGGCGCGGGGCTCTCAGGGCAGGGTGGGGGCAGGCGGGTCAGGGCCCACATTCGGCCGGGTCTGGATTCCAGTTAGGCTTGGGGTTTGAGTTGGGGCCCCCAGCCTGGCAATTAGGTTTTGGATCAGGCCCGGGGGTCGGGCCGGAGCCTGCGTGACTCCGCCTGGTCCCCACAGTCTCGGAGCCCGACGACGCGCGGCCCTTCCTGGCTGACTTCAGCGGCTTCTCCTACCTGGAGCTGAGCGGCCTGCACACCTTCGGGCGGGACCTAGGGTCAGTGGGGGGAGGGGCCAGCCCTCGCCTCTGTCCCGCCGGTGGGGGTCGGGGACAGTGAGAGGCCCACGACCCCGCATGACCCCAGGGAGAAGATGGAGCTGGAGGTGGTGTTCCTGGCCCGCGGCCCCAGCGGCTTGCTCCTCTACAACGGCCAGAAGACCGACGGCAAGGGGGACTTCGTGTCGCTGGCGCTGCATGACCGCCGCCTGGAATTCCGCTACGACCTGGGCAAGGGGGCCGCCATCATCAGGTGGGCGGGGCTGTTTGAGTGGGGGCGGAGCTTCCCGAGCGGTGGGCGGGGCTGCCCGAGCGGTGGGCGGGCCTATGGGGGCCGGGCCTGCTCACGGCGCACCCTCCTCGCCAGGAGCAAGGAGCCGGTCGCCCTGGGCACCTGGACCCGCGTCTCGCTGGAGCGGAACGGCCGCAAGGGCTCCCTGCGTGTCGGCGACGGCCCCCGCGTGCTGGGCGAGTCCCCGGTGAGTCCCCGCCACGCGTGGGGCCAGGGACCCCCCACCTGCTGCCACTGCCGCCGCCTCCTCTCCCTGCAGGGCCTGGCCCCCGCGGCCCTCACTGAACTGTCCTCTCTGTCTTGCTGTCCTCTGCTCCCTCTGCCTCCCTGCTCTCTGCTCTCCTCCGCCACCCCCACGCCCTCGGATGTCAGAAATCCCGCAAGGTACCGTCCGCCCGCGTCCGGCTCGTCTGTCTCCGGCGCCTCCGCCCTAGAGTAGCCCCTCCCCCGACTAAGGACCCTCGTCCGCCGTTTCCGTGTGATTAACGCTGCCCCTAGCTAGGCCGGGGCCTGGGGGCGTTGGGCGTCGCAGGCGTTCGGCCCACGCAGCCCCTCACCGGCGCCTCCCCGCAGGTCCCGCACACCATCCTCAACCTGAAGGAGCCGCTCTACGTGGGGGGCGCCCCCGACTTCAGCAAGCTGGCACGCGCAGCCGCGGTGTCGTCGGGCTTTGACGGCGCCATCCAGCTGGTGTGTGGGGCTGCGCGGGCGGGGCGGCGGGGTCCCCGAAGGGGCCCCCCTCCACCTGGGTAAGGGCGGCAGGTGAGACCGAGGCTCTCGCCCCGCAGGTCTCCCTGAGAGGCCAGCAGCTGCTGACCCAGGAGCACGTGGTGCGGGCCGTGGACGTGTCCTCCTTCACCGACCACCCTTGCACCCGGCCCTCAGGCCACCCCTGCCTCAACGGGGCTTCCTGTGTGCCCAGGGAGGCCGCCTACGTGTGCCTGTGTCCCGGGGGCTTCTCGGGGCTGCACTGCGAGAAGGGTGAGCGCTGGCGGCACGGGGCTGGGCCGGACCCCCAGGCCCGCCAGGCCCCCTCACGTCTCCGTCGGTCGCAGGGCTGATGGAGAAGGCAGCGGGGGACCTGGACGCGCTGGCCTTTGACGGGCAGACCTACATCGAGTACCTCAACGCCGTGACCGAGAGGTGAGTGGCCGCCACACACCCCTGTCTTCTGCAGTCCTCCCGGCCCTGTCTGTGCCCACGTGCGGGGTAGGTATAGGACCCTGCACACACACCGGCGGCCCAGTGGCCAGCAGGGGAGGCCCAGCACCCACCCCCTCCCCCTCCCTCTTCTCACCTTCTGTCTCTTTGTTTCCAAGCGAACTGACCAATGAGATCCCAGCGTAAGTAGCACCTCCCGCCCCTTCCGATCTCCGCCCCGGCCACCCACAGCCGTGGGCCCCACCGAGGGCTGGACTCTCCATCCTGGGGGTCGGGGACCTGTTCATGCTGCATGGGGCTCAGTCTCCTAGCTCAGAAGTGGGGCATGGCCCCCCAAACCCAGGCAGCGGGCCGAAGGCTGGTGGCCTCACACCCCCAGCCAGCCCCAGCCCCGAGATACCAGCACAGGCGTGCCCGTGTGTATGTATGTGGGCGTATGCGCGTGTCTGGGTGTGTGTGTGTGTGTGTGTGTGTGTGTGTGTATACGCGCCCGTGTGTGTCTGCGCATGCACGCACATTCATGCGCGTGTGTGTGAGTACCAGTTCCCTGTGTTTGTGCGCGCATGTGTGGTTATGTCCGTGTGTGTCCATGTGCGAAAATGCAGGCGTATGCGTGTCTGGGTATGCGTGTGAGTGTGCACATGTGCACGTGTGTGCTTGCTGGGGCATCGGGGGCCACTCCCAGGCAGGCCCTCAGTCCCCAGCCCCTGCCACCCCCATCTCACCCCTCGAACTCTGCACATGGCCGGAGCCTCGCCTTCCCTGGGTGTCCACATGGGCATGCTGCATGTGTGTTGCTGGGGCTTTTAGGGGTGGGGTCATGCCTGTCTCCATGGACGCTTGCTCCTCCCCTTCCGCCTGCGAAGGGGTGCGTCAGCTCACCCACCCCCGCTTACCTGCCTCCCTCTCTTCCTGCTTCTAAGCCCCAGAACTCCGGATTCCGGGGCTTCGCACAGGTGAGCACCCCGCTAGCCGGTCACCTGCCGTCCTCCCGCCTCCCTGGTCGTCTCCCTGCAGCTGTCCCTCTGTCCGTCCATCTCTCCTCTGTTGGTGTCTGCCCACCTGCCTGCACTGTCCCCCGCGTCCCGCCGCGCCCCTGCGGTGGTGGCTTCCCCCAGCCCCTTCTTGCCACTGACCTGAGGCCCTGCCCTGCCCTCTGCCCTCCAGCGAGAAGGCACTGCAGAGCAACCGCTTCGAGCTGAGCCTGCGCACTGAGGCCACGCAGGGGCTGGTGCTGTGGATCGGCAAAGCCACAGAACGAGCAGACTATGTAGCATTGGCCATCGTGGACGGGCACCTGCAGCTGAGCTACGACCTGGGCTCCCAGCCCGTGGTGCTGCGGTCCTCCCTGCCCGTCAACACCAACCGCTGGCTGCGGGTCAGGGCGCACAGGTAGGCAGGGGCCGGACATTGCCTGGACTTGCCTGGCTGGGCAGGGTTGGGAAGGACGGGACAGGCTGCCTGACCCAAGGTGAGTGCCGGTGGGGGCAGGGAGGGACAGGAAGGTACAGGAAAAGCAGCCACTGTCGGGTGACTCCTTACCTGGAAGGGAGCCGTGCAGTGCTCAGACACTGGGGGGGGACATGTCCCCTGGCCTGAGCAAAGCTTGGCCTACTGAGTGCTTCGGCCACCACTGCTATTGTGGGGGTCAGGGCCACCCCATCCCGGCCTCCTGCATGGCCTGGGGTGGATGCGGCTTGGGGCTCAGAGTGGGGAGGGCACTCTGGAGCCCCCCGGTGGTCTCACCCCACCCCCAGGGAGCAGAGGGAAGGTTCCCTGCAAGTGGGCAACGAAGCCCCCGTGACTGGCTCCTCGCCGCTGGGCGCCACGCGGCTGGACACAGACGGAACCTTGTGGCTCGGTGAGTGTTTGGGGGAGGCTGGGCGGTGGAGGCCCCAGGGGTCTCATGGTATCTGAGGGACAGACGCCAGCCCCCTGGGGATGGCGGATGGCCCCGCTAGGGCAGGGCTCTGACCTCTCCCGCCTTAGCCCAGGGCTGTGGGCGGGAGGCGGGGCCTGTGATGGGATCACCTGCTGGTCACCTGGTCTCCTGGGGTCAGTGCTGAGTCACAGCTGGGTGACCCTGTCTGTCCTGCAGGGGGCCTGCAGAAGCTGCCTGCGGGCCAGGCCCTGCCCAAGGCCTACAGCACGGGTTTCGTGGGCTGTCTGCGGGACGTGGTGGTGGGCCAGCGCCCGCTGCACCTGCTGGAAGACGCGGTCTCCAAACCAGCGCTGCGGCCCTGCCCCGCCCCGTGAGCTGGCACCTGAGCCCACTGCCCACCCTGCTGTAATTATTTTCTATTTTTGTAAACTTTTTGCTTTTTGATATGATTTTCTTGCCTGCTTGTGGGCCGGAGGGACTGCTGGCCCGGCCCCCTTTCCGTCCAGGCAGCCGTGCTGCAGAGACAGACCCGTGCGGAGGGACCCGCGGGTGCCGCGCCGTGGCAACGTGGCGGGCTTGGCTTGACGGCAGCCTCGGACAAGCCCCTCTGCCTCAGGGTGCCACGCCTCATCCACGCACTGTGCCCCAACGGGTCCCCCGTGTTCCCCTCGTGTCCCCCAGCCCGTCGGTGCTCCTGGCCACCCGGCTCCATCTGGCAGGGGCTGTGCACGCCCCATGGGGCCTTTGTCAGTGTAAGCTGCTCCCCGCCGTGGGCTTGGCCAGCCTCACTGCGGCTGGCCCGGACCTCTCGTGCCAATACTGTGACTTAGAAACGACATTCCTGTTGGGGCCGCACTGCGCACACACCCTCCCCCTGGCTGTGTGCCACAGTCCCAAGGTGCTGGGGAGCAGAGGCCAGGCCCAGGCCTGTCTGGGGCCTCCTGGCCCTCAGCTGGTCCCATCCATCCACCCAGCTGCCCTGGACATGCCCGTGCCCTGCCCCCACGCCCCGGGTTCCAGGAGGAGCCCCCAGAGGGCGCGGGCCGCTGTGCCATGGCGCCGCTGCCTGCCTGCCGCACATCCCAGCCTGACCACACCACCCACGTTCTTCATGCATCGATTTCGTTTGACGCCAGAGTGGGGGCTCCCGTCCTTCCTGCATGGCCTGGCACAGCTGGGTGCTGCCCCAGGGCACGGCCTCCCTCTGGCTGCAGCATGGGGGGCAGCGGTTCCTGCTGAGAAGGACCAGGGCCTGGGCTGGTGTCTGGCCCAGGCACAGGTGCAAGGGCAGTAGAGACGGCTCTGAAGCCAGAAATGCCTTAAATTGCAGCGTCCCATCTCGTCCCCACCCTCAGCCCCTGGCCCAGTCCTGGGAGCCAGGGGAAGCTGGCGGGGTGGCCGCCAGACCCTCAGAGGGGCGTGTGGGGGCTGCAGGGAGCCGTGTGGCGTCATGTTACTAACTCCAGTATGTGTGTGTCGATCGCCGTGAAATAAAGTCTGAAACTTTAAGAGAGCTGCTTGGGCCTGCCCTCGCCAGTGCCCAGCCAATGGCTTCGTGCGCAGCTGTACGGTGAGGACCCGGGCTTCGAACTCCACTGGGTGGCCCTGTTTGGAGCAGGCGGGCCCTGCTCTGGGGACGGGGTTCCTTGTGGCAGAGGAGGCCCCTGTGTGGAGCATGGGCCACGCCCCTGGTGGCCCCCTGGGAGGTGACAGGCCCTGCAGGCAGATGCTCCATGGGCGTGTGTGCATGCGTGTACACACACATGGCCTGCGTCTGTCTGAGCACATGATGGGAGGACCGGTGGGGCAGAGCCATAGTGAGCGGGGCGGGAGGCAGCCTGTACACTGGTCCAGGGTGCGGGGTTGACTGAGGGCCCCAGCTGGGTGTCAGTGTGGCAGGAGCTCCCAGAGGAGCCGCCAGGACTCAGCCCCTGGCAGCAGGTGTGAGCCTCTTGCCAGGCACCGGGGAAGGGGCGGGGGCAGTGCATGGCAGGTACTTATGCGGCCAGGGCACAGGACAGAGGGGCAGGGGTCAGGGTGGTTGGGGATGGGCAGGGCGGGTCCCCTGGGGCCTGGAGGCCTCAGGCTATCTGAGGAGCCTGGAAGGGGGTGGGGAGTTTGAGCAGGAGAAGGCCAGACATGGGGAGGATGCTGCTGTGTGGGACGTGTGCTCAGAGGCCAGTGCTGGCTCGGTGGGCACCGGCGCCGACAGGGGGAGGAGGGATTTGGGGTAGGACAGACAGGCCTGCGCTGGGCGGGCCAAGAAGAGACGCTGACCGAGGTGAGGCACTAGAGCACTTTGGTAGGGGCTCGGACACGCCCAGAGGGGCTGGGGGGCCCCAAGTGGAGTCTAGAGGGGCTGGGGGTTCCCCAAGTGGAGTCCAGAGGAGTCTAGAGGGGCTGGGGGTTCCCCAAGTGGAGTCCAGAGGGGCTGGGGGTTCCCCAAGTGGAGTCTAGAGGAGTCTAGAGGGGCTGGGGGTTCCCCAAGTGGAGTCCAGAGGGGCTGGGGGCTCCCCAAGTGGAGTCTAGAGGGGCTGGGGGCACCCAAGTGGAGTCCAGAGGAGTCTAGAGGGGCTGGGGGCTCCCCAAGTGGAGTCCAGAGGGGCTGGGGGCTCCCCAAGTGGAGTCTAGAGGGGCTGGGGGCCCCCAAGTGGAGTCCAGAGGAGTCTAGAGGGGCTGGGGGCTCCCCAAGTGGAGTCCAGAGGAGTCTAGAGGGGTTTAGAGGGGCTGTGGGGTCCCCAAGTGGAGTCTAGAGGGGCTAGGGGCTCCCCAAGTGGAGTCCAGAGGGGTTTAGAGGGGCTGTGGGGTCCCCAAGTGGAGTCTAGAGGGGCTAGGGACTCCCCAAGTAGAGTCTAGAGGGGTGTAGAGGGGCTGGGGGCCCCCAAGTGGAGTCCAGAGGAGCTGGGGGCCCCCAAGTGGAGTCCAGGGGGGTCTAGGGGAGCTGGGGCCCCCCAAGTAGAGTCCAGGAGGAGAAGATGGGCCTCAGCAGGAGGGAGAGGGTGTGGGGGGATAAGGAGAGGTTTTCCGAGGAGCCAGTGCTGAGAGGTGCTGAGGACTCCAAGATGACCTTTGGGGACCTGGGGTGAGGTGGAGAGGATGCCCTGGCAGAGAGGACCCTGCGTCAGTGGGGGGGTGTGATTTGGGATCTGAGACTAGAAGCCCCTGGGGAGGAAGTTCCTGCCCATGGATCAGGTGTCCCTGGGGGGACAATGCTGGGGAGGGGAGGTGCCCCATGGGGACAGGCTTACGGGGACACTCCCAGGCCTGGGGCCTGTGGGGTGGAGGACTGGCTGCAGCTGGGGGCGCAGTTGGAACCCCCGGGGAAGCGAGAGACCCCCCCCCCGCGCCAGCCCCTCCAGCCTGAGCCCTGCCGCCCGCCCCTGCCTCACTCTGGAGCCAGGGTGTTGCCACCCACGAGGGGCAGTGGTGTCTGGTGTCACGGTGGCTGAGTGGACGGCTGGGACCAGGGCACACCCCTGGCCCTTCAAGCCTGATGCTGCCTGAGCAGCCTGGTTCTGCAGGTGCATGGAGCCTTCAAGGATGCAGGGTGGGGGCCCGGTGCACGCGGCCAGGCCCCCTTGTCGCAGCTGCAGCTGCCCAGGCTGCATAAGGCACGACCTGGCAGGTGAGCCCTGGGCACCGTGGCCCCCACGCCTGGAGACTCCAGGAGAAGCACCTCGGGCTGATGGGCGCAGATGGGTGGGTGTGGTCAAGATGCCACCCTGGGGTGGCTCACGCCTGTAATCCTAGCACTCTGAGAGGCCGAGGCTGGCGGATTGCTTGAGGTCAGGAGCTTGAAACCAGCCTGAGCAAGAGTGAGACTCCGTCTCTACTATAAATAGAAAGAGGCCGGGCGGGGTGGCTCACGCCTGTAATCCCAGCACTTTGGGAGCCGAGGAGGGCGGATCGCTCGAGATCAGGAGTTCGAAACCACCCTGAGCAAGAGTGAGACCCCGTCTCTACTAAAATAGAAAGAAATTAATTGCCACTGATATATATAGAAAAAATTAGCCAGCGCATGGTGCGCATGCCTGTAGTCCCAGCTACTGGGGAGGCTGAGGCAGGAGGATTGCTTGAGCCCAGGAGTTTGAAGTTGCTGTGAGCTAGGCTGATGCCACGGCCACCACTCTAAGCCTGGGCAATTAATGCGAGACTCTGTCTCAAAAAAAAATAAAAATAAAAAGAAAGAAAGAAATTAATTGGCCAACTAATATATATATATAGAAAAAATTAGCTGGGCATGGTGACACATGCCTGTAGTCCCAGCTACTCGGGAGGCTGAGGAGGAGGTCGCTTGAGGCCCAGGAGTTTGAGGTTGCTGTGAGCTAAGGCTGACGCCACGGCACTCACTCTAGCCTGGGCAACAAAGTGAGACTCTGTGTCAAAAAAAAAAAGCCACCCTGGACGTCCCCATGCTGCCAGCCAGCTTGCCCCCAGGCCTGAGGTCCTGACTCCTCTCCACAGCCAGGTCCCATGGGACGATCTGGGTCCTGGCCGGCCAGCCCTGGCCGCACTCACAGCCCAGAGCCTGGGCTTGGGTGAAGGGCAGAGGGTCGCCACAACCCTGGGGGCCACACCTGCAGGTTTGCCCGAGCCAGCGCCCAGGAGGGGGGTGAAAGTGTAACTGAGACAGGCCCTCCACGCCGCTCCGTGGCTCTGATGCCATGTCTCCACCCGCCGTCCCCACATTCTGGGCACTGCCCATCTAGGGGGTGGGGCTCTGGGTCAGGATGCAGCTCAGCAGAGTGGTACCCCAGGCGGGGGTCACCTCCTGGGTTCCAAACCCGTCACCCTCCACAGCACCTTGCACAAGCACCCTCTTCCTGGTGGCCTGGCCTGGAGGCTGCCCCGTGGCATCTCCTCCTCCAGGAGTCTTCCCTGGTGCCTCGCCCACTGGCCACTCGGCGGGAATCAACCCTGGTTGACTCCCCTATGGGGGGCTCTAGGCACCAAGCCCGAATATGCCAGGAAGGGCGCGGCTGGCGGGGACCCTCCTGTCCCACAGGGAGGACTGTTCGTTGCTCACTGCTGGTGCCGTGGACGGGTTGTCTGAGCTCTGGGCCTCTCTGAGCCAGCACATGGGTTGTGGGGAGCCGTGGAGGTCAGAGTGGAGCCCCCCCCCACATGGGGCTCACATCGCGTGGTGAAGACATGTGACAAGCACAACCGTGTGTGCCCTAGGCTGCCTGTGCCTGCTGCCCACTGTGCAGGGTGCAGTGACCCAGCGGAGGGGCCGGGGGGTGGGGGGGACTCTCGGGAGATGCAGGTGCCCCACAGGCTGGGCGACAGGACTTGCCCCTCCTCCTCGGAGCTGTGGGTCATTAGGGTCAGGGTTAGGGTTAGGGTCAGGGTGCAGAGCTGTGTGCAGAAAGGCTGCTTTCTGGGGGCTGGGCCATGGGGTCAGGGTGCGGCAGAATGGAGCCAGGGCCAGGGTGGTGGTGGAGACGTTTGGCTCTGGGCACATTTGAAATAGGACGAGGGGTGTGGATGGGTCAGTGCCAGGCAGGGAGTGGGGGCAGGGCCCAGCGCCCCAGCACATGAGGAGACAAGATGAGAGAACAGGAGCTGGGACATTACAGGAGTTCTGAGTTTTGAAAATGCTAAGAAAGAGACACTGTTGTCTGGCCAGACAGAGCTGCAAGGTCGGAGGCAGCCGGGAGAAGGGCCAGGGCAGGGCAGGCTGGAGCCAGCAGTGCAGGGACCCAGCCAGGCCGTGGGTGTCGCAGGTGGGGGAAGCTTTGGCTCGGTTCCCCGGCATGAGGGGTTACTGAGACCTGGAATAGAGAGATGTGATTTCCATTCTAGACAGATCCCCATGGCTGCCCTGGGGGAGAGGCAGGATTGTGGCACAGGTTATGACTCTACTAACAGCTGCCTGGCTGGGGGTGCAGGGGGGCTGTCCTGGGCTGTGTGGGGTCCCACTCTCCCCCCTGCCCCCTCCCCCTGCCAGTAGGCCCCCGGGTGTCCTCTGTTCAGCGGGAGGAGATACTTCAGAACAGGACATCCAGGTGTCCCAGAGCCCCTCCTGCAGAGCTGGGTTACAGCACTTCCCCGGGGGTTGGGGGGGTCACTGAGAAGGTGCAGATGGTTGGGGGAGCCACTCATTCCTTCATTCCCTCACCCTCACTCATTCGTTCATTCATTCGTGCTTCTCTTCCTGCTGACATCCTGAGAGCCCCTGGGGCTACCCCATGGGTATGATTTACTTCTAAGCTCAGAAATTCCTGCTCCCATGGGGAGTACATGCTGGGACAAAGGCACAGCAGCTATGACCAGGATCACGTGCAGCCTGAGGGCCTCCCGGCCTGCCCCCCTGGGCACCTGGGGCAGAACAGAGAACCCGCACCTCAGCATCTGACCTGCGGCTGCGGGTCCTGGGCCACCCCAGCTGCCGCTCTCTGTCCTCGGCCTTGAGCCCTCCTGTTCACCCACCTGCCACCCACCTGCTTAGTCGTCCGATTCTTAACTCAAGTAAGCCGCTAACCCCCAGGCGTGTTCCAGCCCTGGGACCCAGCAAGCTTCCGCCTTGCGTGGGCGGCAGGCACGACAGGTGCCAATGTGGTGAATACCGCTGGACTGTGACGGTCTGGGATGGGGAGCCAGGGCCGCGGTGTCAGCTCAGGATGCTATAACAAATGACCACGGACTGGGTGGACAAATGCTTGTTTTTCACAGCAGAAGCCTGAGAGCCTGAGACCAAAGGAGGAGGGTGGGTGAGAGTGGGGCCCAGAGCCAGTAGCAGGGCGTGGGGGGAGGCGGGAGCCCCGGGTGGCTGTGGGCCCTTCCCTGGGACCCGAGTGCAAGCTGCAGCCCCCACGGGGTCCTGTGCAGGTGGGGGAAGCCAGCCCTGCCCACCCTGTCCCCAGGACCCCATGCCCTGGCCTCCACCCCAAGACCTCAGGCCCCGGGCCACTGCCATCACCCGCTTCAAGCATGGGGTGGCCCCAAGCTGGTGACCGTGCATGTGCACTACGGAAACAACAACTGAGGGTGGGTGGGGCCACTGACTTGCTGTCCCCCTCCTAGGTGGTCTCACCCTAGCACCAGCAGGGTTGAGGCAGAGAAACTGCTCCTGTCCAGGGCGGCAGGGGAGCTTCCTGCTGGGACCTGGCAAGAGCAGCCCTGGGGGCTTCACACTGTTGGTCAGAGGGGTGGGCCCAGCCGGGCTGGACAGGTCCTCCCGAGGGCCTTGGACCTGGGCCTCTCCCTGCCAGCCCCTCCAGACACGAGGATCCAGGCACAAAGCATGAAGGGCTGTGTGTGAGAGCTCAGCATGGCTGCCCACGCCAGCGGGAAGGCCCGGCGGGGCTTCTGGGAGGAGCTGGAGGTGTGCCCCACCTGCTCCGTCTGCTGGGGTTGGGGCAGGGGCCCAAGAGGGTGTGGAGCCAGGGAGTGGGTGGGTGTCCAGGGTGCTGGGAAGGAGCCAGAGCCATGGGCTGAAGCCTCCGTCACTCCCAGATGCTGCAGCAGCAGGACTGCCGGCTCCTGTACCCCTGGAAGGAGGAACAGTTCTCAGACAACAAGCCCAAGAATGGCTACAAGAACACCCTTCCTCTACCACCTGCACGCAGGGGGCCCATCTGGCAGAGGGTCCTGGCAGAAGCAGGCAGCGAGTCTGCCACACTGCTGTGACACTCTCTCTTGCACACCCCGGGCCCCTCCTTGCCCATCCCCATTCCCCGCCCCGGGGTCTGCCCTCCCTCCCCTTCCAGGTGACACCACCCCTGTTGTGTCCTCCTTTGATGTGGACAACAGTGGGCCTGGGCAGACTCCATCAGTGCCAGCTACGTCGGGGTGGCTGTGGGAGGCACACGGCACACGTGACCCAGCCTGGGCCAAATGGGACATCTCGCACCCTGCCTGGCCACGCCCAGCCCTCCGCTGGCAGTCCAGGAAAAACCACAGTCCCAAGGGGCGTGGGCAAAGTGTGGACCTTGGCAGGACATCAGATATTCTAGGAGTGAGTGAGCAGAAGTCCCCATGGGGTCCTCAGAGCAGCTGGACTGAACCCTGGTCCCAAGCCCCTCCCCCGCTGAGACTGAGCCACCTGGGGCTCCTTTGGGTAATACCTGCGTAGACTTCTGTTTCTCCATGCCAAAATGACTGGCAGTTGGGTCCATTCCCTTTCAGGGTGACCCAGAGGAGGAGCCAGGCCAGAGTGGGTAATGTGTATATCGCCACACAGGGCTGTGTGCAGGCCACGTGGCTGCCTTTCGTGCCACGGTGCACCAGAGCACGCGTGTCATTGTCATGACCACTGCGGAGGTGGAGCGAGGCCGGGTAGGAGCGAGGTGCTGGCTGTCCGAGTGCTTCTCCTCCAGCTGGTCCAGGAAATGTCCCTTCCTGACCGGGCAGAGGCGCCTGTGCGACACTGGGGGCAGTGCGGAGGGTCTCAGGGAGCCCCGTGGAGGCACGTGCCTGCGTGTGCCCCCTCAGGGCGCAGGGCAAGGGCGGGCTGTTTGCCGGGAGGCGGATGCAAGCGCTGCCCCCAGAACAAGCGCTTCTGGCTCGGGCCAGAGCCGCAGAGTCCCGTGCCTGGCTGCGAGGACGCGCAGTGGGGGAGGGCCGTCCCCGCCCTCGCCGTCCTCTCCCCGCTCGGCGCGGCCACCCCGGCACTCCACGTGTCAGGGCCCGCCGCTCCCGCGCGCCGCCAGCCGGGCCACGGCGTCCGGCCCAGGAGGACCGGCCACGGCGCCGCGCAGCGGAGCGGCGGGGAGGAGCCGAGCCCAGGGTTCTGGGCGGGGCCCCTGCGGGGGCGGGGCCGCGCGGGGCCCGCAGGTGCGGCGGGGGCGGGGCCTATGCTGGCGCACGTCCGGCGCGGCGGGGGCGGAGCCGGGTCTCTGGGCGGGCACGGGTGAGGGCGGGGCCTGGGCCTAGTCCCCGAACCGCCACAGGCCGCCCAGTTCGTCCAAACAGCGCCGGCAACCTCGGGCGCACGGACACCGTCATCGTGGTCGTGACGTGATGGACGACATGCGCAGGCAGGGCAAGCCGCGCCGGGCCCGCCCTCCCCGACTGGCCCTGCCCGTCTCTGGCGGCCCCGCCCCTCCATGGCGGCCCCGCCCCCTAGGCTGGTCCCGCCCCTCCATGGCGGCCCCGCCTTCCCGGTCTGGCCCTGCCCCTCTCTGGAGGCCCCGCCCTCCTATTGTGGCCCCGCCCTCCCAGGCTGGTCCCGCCCCTCAGTGGTGGCCCCGCCTTCCCGGTCTGGCCCTGCCCCTCTCTCGCGGCCCCGCCCTCTCTGCTTGACCCGCCCGTCCTCGGCGGCCCCGCCCTCCCCAACTGGTCCTGTCCCTCTCCGGCGGCCCCGCCCTCCCCGACTGGCCCTGTCCCTCTCTGGAGGCCCCGCCCTCCTATGATGGCCCCGCCCCTCCATGGAGGCCCCGCCCTCCCAGGCTGGTCCCGCCCCTCAGTGGCGGCCCCGCCCTCTCTGCTTGACCCGCCCGTCCTCCGCGGCCCCGCCCTCCCCAGCCCCGCGCCGCCGGCCCTGCCCTGAGGGCGTCCCCAGGGCTGGACGGCGACTTCGACGTCCCGAAGACTGTCCAGCTGGTGCGGCGCCAGCGCTCGTGCACGGCGGACCGAGGCGCAGTCTGCGTCCGTGCACCTGGCGCTATAGCGGCGCATCCAGGTCGAGCAGCCGCGCCTGCGCGAGACGTGGGGGCGGGGCCTGTGCGGGGCCGTTACCATGGTGACCTGCGGCCCCTCACCCTGGGCGCGCGGCGGGAAGAGCGCGGGTACCTGGATGTGGTCGCCGCGCCCCGGGGTCCAGGGCCGCGGCGGCGGGCGGGGTAGGAGCCGCCTGCCGGCGCGGAGGGGCTTGTGCCCCTCGGACTCCCTGGCCGGGCTCCCACAGCGGGGCTCCCAGGCGAGGGTGGAGGCGGGGCAGGCAGGGCTGCGACTGGTGCTGGGGGTGGGCGTGGGAGCCCGTGTGTGTGCGGGCGCAGCCACCCCGTGCTGCCTGTGCGAGTGGCCGGGACAGCAGGGCTCAGTCTGCCAGCGCTGCCCCTCCTGCCCTGGTGGGCTGGGGTTCAGCCGGCGGCTCGTGGTCATGGGCACAGGGTGGACACGTGCTTGTCGAATAGGGTGCGGGTGAGATGCCCGTGACTGCCTGCACACTGCCGCACGTGCCTGGTCCCTCGGAGCCCAGGGTGTGGCCCACACGGGCATGACCGTGCGTGTGCAGTCACTGGCTGTGGTCTGTGGTAGCACCCCCGTCATGGAATGGCCTGTGGCCATGTGGCTTGTCAGTAAAGTGCCGTGTCCTCAGTTTCGTGTCTTTGTTGGGGCCTCGGGCATGGGTGCGTGTGGGTCCCCACGGCTGGACCCAGCTTCTTCAGGGTCTCCCTGAGCCCCCTCCCCACCCTAGCCAGAGGCCTAGCTGGTTGGACCAGGAAGTACCTGGGCCTTAGGCCCAGGGGTGAGGAGGCCAGGGCTCCTGGCCATGCCCGCCTGGTACTGCAGGATTCCTGGCTGAAGGCAGGTTGAGGTGGGGCCGCCTCACCTGCCAGGCTGGGCTGGCAGGTCTGCAGGGGCCTGTGTTTGCACATCTCTGTGCAAACCACTAGGCTTGGTGCCCCCAGGGCCCATGGATGCTGCGGCTCTCCGTCCAGGGCTCCCAGGGGACCGTGGGGCCAAGACTCCTTGGGGGTGTAGCCCACGGTGTCCACAGCAGGGGATGGGGAGGAAAAGGGCCCCGCAGCAGGGCTCTGGGCCTGACCCAGGCTCCCCCCTCCTGCCAGCCGTGCCCCAGGTGTCCTGGAGCCATGGGCCCCGTCCCTGTGGCAGCCAGGCATCTGACCCAGTGGGGTATCTTCTCTTCAAGTTGAGGCTGGGGACAGGGCGGGGACCTTGAACCAAATGTGGACATAAATAATTTATTTAAAAACTTACAGCTCACAAAAGTTGGACGGGTGGCTGGGATGGGGGTGGGGGCAGGTGGTGTTGGGGAGATGCCTCCACTCTGTCCCCTGACCCCGTCGGAGGGCTAGATGAGCCCCGCCTAGCAGAGGGGGTGCCGAGGGGCTCGCTGTGAAATGTCGAGTACAGGAAGGACGGCCAGTCCTCCTCGGTAAGGGAGCACCCTGCCCTCACGGGTGACCCGCAGTGCGTAAGGAGGGCGGCCGCGTGTCTGTGGAGCCTTTTTGTTCATCCCACCAGACAGGCCTCGGGGAGGGACGGCCTGGAATACGTGCAGGTCTTGGGGGGCCAGCTGGGGTCCCCGAGGTGATGGTGCTCTTTGGGGGACGACTTCCGGTGGCTGCTGGGCCCTGGAGCCTGGCGGTGGGGGACGCCCACGTGTGGACCCTAGTTGTCGGTCAGAGGCCCGAGGGAGAAGGCGGCGGTGGCGCTGGCGGTGGCCGTGGGGTGTGGGGGCAGGCAGCGCAGGCTCCCGGTCTTGAGCGCGCACTGCACGGGCCAGAGCACCACGCAGAAGAGCAGCAGCAGCAGGGCAGACACCAGCGCCACGCGCCGCCAGTCCCCACAGCGCGCCCAGCAGCGGGCCAGGCGGCCCCGACGGGGCGCCAGGTCTGGGGCGGGTGTGGGCGCGGCGGTCTCGGGGGGCTTGCTCAGGCCCACATCCACACATATGAAGTCCGGCGCGCGGCCGGGCGTGGCGGGCGGAGGCTGGCAGCACAGCTTTGTGCCGTCCAGCCACACGGGCTCCTCGCGCCGCAGGTGCGCCGGCATCCGGGCCTGCAGCTGGCGGCTGGTGCGCAGCGCGGGGGCCCCGGCGGGTGGCACGGCCGTGGGCTTCCTGCAGAAGGGGCAGGGCACGGCCTCACCGCCAGGGCGGCCGGCCGGCTGGGCGGCCACCAGCCGGGCCAGGCACTCCAGGCAGAAGACGTGGGTGCAGGTGAGCTCCTTGGGCGTCTTGAAGATGTTGTCGTAGCCGGAGAAGCAGATGGAGCATTCCAGCGGGGAGGCCACCTTCTCCGAGCCAGGGGTGCCAGGGGACCTGGGCACTGAGGCTGTGGAGCTGCTCCGGCGAGGGAGTGGCATGGCCGTGTGCCACACCTGCTGGCCAGATGACATGGCTCTGAGCTGTGGGACAGACACCTCTGTGAGAGATCGTGGGCCGCCCTTTTCCTTGTGGGGTCTGTTATCTCCCTCTCCTCCTCCTCTGCCCAGCTCCAGCCCCAGAGATCCCAGAGAAGGGCTCTACCCCCTGTGGGCACCTCAAGAAAGGTCCATCTGTGCCCCAGGAGCCCCGCACCCCAAGGTGCAATCCTGACCACCTCCACCTCCTTACACGGCCGTGCCAGGCGGGGGGGCATCCCATGGTGCATGGCCACGTGCACAGGGTGTCGTGCCAACCGCCCCGACTGGCCCTTCTGCCTGGGCAGAAATCAGGGTGATGACAAGGGCCCATGTCATGGGAGGCTCACAGCAGCCAGTGTGGAACGTGCAGCCCAGAGGGTGGGTCACCGAGGCCATCGGCCAGCAGGACCCAGGCCCTTACCGGTGTGGCTCCCAGGGGGGGGTGTGGCTCTGGGTCAGGTGGCCCCAGGTGGGGCTGGGGACCTGGGTTGGGCTGGTGCAGGCCCCACTTGCAGGCAGCTGTGCTGGGGTGGGGGGGCTGGGGTGAGGGGGTCTCTGGGGCTGGGGGCTGGGCCGAGCCTGTGGGGCTGCAGGCAGACCGGGAGGGCAGTGGCCAATGGAGGAAGGTTTCTTCCAACCACAGCCTGTGTGGTCAACGTGTCCGGCCACTGATGCGGGTCTGGTGGCTGTGGCAGGGGATGGGGCCTGCAGGAGCCCCAGCCATGCCCTCTGGGCCACCCCGCCCAGGCTGTGGGATGCCTGGGTGTGCAAGGTCTCTTCTCTCTGACCCACTCCCACTTCCAGGAAGGAGCCCTGGAGACCCTGCTCTGTCTCCTGGGTGTGACCCAGGTTAGCACCAGCTGACCAGGGCCAGCTCTGCCTCCAACCCTCCCTGGCCCAGGACTCCATCCCAGGGAGCCACAGGTGCGTCTGGCCCTGGGGACTTGGTCATGGGGTTCCTGCCTGGAGAAGAGTGGGCAAGGGGTGACCTGTCTTCCATTGTCTCCGTGAGCTCCGAGGCCCCAGCCACGGGACCCCACGGAGCCCAAGAGGCAGCCCCAGAAGTGTCCCTCACACTGCCTCTCCCAGTCCCGACCCCAGCCCCGAGCCCAGGCCTAGACAGGTGGGTTGCGATGACTCAGGTGGGCCGAATCATCGCTGTGACTGCCTGAGTCACGGTGACACCGCTGTGATGTCACAAGTACCCCAGTCACCCGGCATGTGATATCATGACATCCTGGGGATGGCAGTGGCCTCGGGCCAGGCAGCAGCCTTGGCAGGGTCTGGGGACTGTCCTTGCCCCGACCTGTGCTCCCCACAGAACCGGTTCCTTGGCACCGGGCCCCACCCCTCCACCACGGGGCCCCACCCTGAGCCTGCACAGGTGAGAGGTGAGCACAAGCTGAGCTGCTCTTACCTGGCGGCCGGGGGTCAGCGGGTCCTGGGCATGGTCCTCTTGGCTGGCCCCCGTCGGGCTCCGAGTCTCTGGGTTTCCGGGCTCCAGCAGGGTCCACTCTCTGTCCTCCAGGCGCGGTGGCCTGCACTCCACCTGGCAGGTCTCTCTCCCTGGGGTGGCTGCCAGCAGCTGTCCCAGTGGCACTGGCCTCTGCTCTGTCCCAGGCAGGTGGGGTACACGGAACGCTGTGCTCTTCCAGGTGCGGAGGCCTCTGAGGCAGGTGTGAGCTGGCAGTGGGGCTCCCCAGCAGGTGTATTTATACCCTCCAGGTCGGTTGGCCAGGGGTGTGGCCTGGGGCCTCAGGGATTGGCCGGCCTGTCCTCACCCTGGCAGGCAGTCAGTGAGGGTCAGGGCTGGGCCAGTGCCCAGCACGGGGACTTGAGCAAAACCCCCTCAGCCCTCAGAGGCAGGTCTGCTCCAGGTCTCTGTGGGCCCCGAGCTCTGGGGTGGGCCTCCCAGCGGGGACCTTCCCCTGAGCCTCAGAGCAGCCAGTGTCACCGACTGTCCCCGCACAGCCCACTGTGTGCTCAGGGCCTGGTGTGGCCCCAGCCGCTCCCTACCCCTCCCTGAAGTGTCTCTGCCACCGGGCAGCACAGCGGACCTCAGCAAGAGCAAGTCAGACTGGGGGGCATGGCCACCCCCGTCCTGCTGTGGGTGTGGGCCTGGGCCCAAGATGCGGGACGTCACGGGCGTGAGGCTGGGAGTGGGGCCCGTCCTGGTGGGAGAGATGGCCCAGCCACCCCACAGGCTGGCCTCAGGCACTTGCCACCCCCTCAGCGGTGACCTGGGACCCCAGAGGCCCCTCCCTGCAGTGTTGCCTCCAGGTAGCCTGGCCCCGCCCAGCCTGGACCTGCTCCACGGAGGCTGTTGGGTGGTGGGCCCAATGGCCAACGGATGCGGGGGGGACCCTAACTCCTCAGCCAGTGCGTGGGGCTCAGTGAGGGGTCTGGGTGGGAATCCAGAGGGGGGCTCTGTGGGGGTGACTCTGTGGGGGGATGGGCGGGGTCCCTGGGGGCAGACTCTGGGGGTGGGGTCGCTTGGGGGACCTGTGGGGGTGGGTGCTTTCGGGGACTCTGTGGGGATAGGGGGGGTCCCTGGGGGGGACCTGGAAAAGTGGGGGGTCCTGGGGGGAACTATATGGGAGGATGGGGAGTCCCTTGGGGGACCTATATGGGCCGGGGTGGCCAGCCCTGAGGGACTGCGGGCGGTTTGGGGGGTCCCACTGGAGCGGGCGACTCCATGGGTGATGGGTCTCTGGGCGGACTCCTAGTGGGGGTGGGGGTCTCTGGGACTCTGGGGGTTGGAGATCCTGGAGGCGACTCCCTGGGGGACTCTGTGGGGAGGATTTCTTTGAGGGGGCGCGACTCTGTGGGGTGGGGGTCACTGGGGGGACTCCCGGTGGGGGATGGGAGTAGCTTGGGGGACTCCTGTGGGGGGTGGGGCCCTGGGGAATTGGAGGTCCCCTGAAGGGACTCCCATGGGGGGATAGGGGTCCCTGCGGGGGGAACTCTGTGGGTGGGGGGTTCTTGAGGGGACCTCCTGTGGGGGGTGGGGTCAGCGGGGGACTCTGTGGGGGGGATGGGGAGTCGCTTGTGGGGCTATATGGCGTGGGGGGGGCGTCCCTGGGGGACCTATATGGCGGGTGGGGGCCTCGGGGGGGGAGGGAACTATATGGGGGGGTGGGGGCTGTTTACCTCTGTGGGGGTAGGGGTCGCCTGGGGGACTATATGGGGGGTGGGGGTCCCTGGGGGGACTATATGGGGGGTGGGGATCCCTGGGGGGACTATATGGAGGGTGGGGGTCCCTGGGGGTGACTAATATACCCCGGCGGTGGGGGGGACCCCTGGGTGACTATATGGCGGGTTGGGGTCCCTGGGGTGACTATATGGGGGGTCTGGGGGACTATTTGGGGGATGGGGTCCTTGGGGGGACTATATGGGGGTGGGGGTCCCTGGGGAGGTCTCTGTGGGGGGGTGGGGTCCCTGGGGGGGACTCTCTGGGGGGTGGGGATCCATGAGAGGCTGCTATGATCCATCTGGATGGTGACTCTGGGTCACCTGCCACCTCCAGGAAGTGGCCCTGGTCCCTGCCACTCTGAGAACATCCTCCTGAGGGCTCCTGGGAATATCCGAGCTCTGAGGTCACTCTGGGCTCCGTAGGGCACCGTCAGTGCCCGCAGGCGCAGGTGACGGAAGACCTGAGGAATGCGAGGTCTGGGGCGGGCTGGAGCTCACACAGTGAGCCAGAGGCCCCTGCTTCCCAGACCCAGTGGGAGCCACCCCTAGGAAACCTCGGGAGGCTCAGGGGCCGGCGGTGGAGGGCCTTGGGCAGCTGTCCAGGCAGTGGGGGGCCCTGGTCCCTCTGTCTGGGCCAGCGGGTGCAGAGCAGGCGAGCACCAACAGGCTCACGTGGCTGTTGGAGACCCACATGCATGTGTGTGAGGGCGCACCTGCGGGGCTCCTCCCCTCGACCCCACGGTCCTGGGCCTCCCTCCTGGCCATGGCCCTTGCTGACCCCCCTGCCTGGACATGAGCTGGATGCAGAGGTTGTCCTCGGTCAGGGGAGTGGAAAAGGGCTCACCTCCTCTCAGGACTGTCCCCCACGCCCACCTGGCTATGGAGCAGACCCAGCTCGAAGTCCCTGATGTGCCGTGCCTAGGGGACACAGTGTGGCCAATGTGGGGACAGGCCCTCCAGGCCAGGCTCCTCCGGGGTCCCTGACTTGGGCCCAGCCCCCACGCTGCCTGCCCCGGGCAGGCCGGAGCACCTGCTGACCGCTCGGGTCGTCTGCCCACTGCAGCTGTTCTGTGGCTCCGGGGGCCCAGGTGCGCAGAGACGTGGGGCACACGGGTCCACCCTCTGCATGCGGGAGGCTCGGCCAGTGCCGTCCTCCCTGCCCAGCAGCACACCTGACGCCGGATGCCCCCTCTCCCCCTGCCTCAACCTTCCTGGGTGGCCCAGTGCTGCCAGTAGGAGCCTCGAGCAAGTGGGGGGCTGGCTGGGGAGACAGCAGTGGGGCTCTGCTGCGTGGAGGGATGTGGGAGTGGCCTTGGGTTTTCAGTTTGGCCACTAGATAGGAGGAGGCAGAGGGGACCCAGAATTAAGGCCGGGCGCGGTGGCTCACGCATGTAATCCTAGCACTTTGGGAGGCTGAGGCGGGCGGATTGCTCGAGGTCGGGAGTTCGAAACCAGCCTGAGCAAGAGTGAGACCCCGTCTCTACTATAAATAGAAATATATATAGAAAAAATTAGCCGGGCATGGTGACGCATGCCTGTAGTCCCAGCTCCTTGGGAGGCTGAGGCAGCAGGATCGCTTGAGCCCAGGAGTTTGAGGTTGCTGTGAACTAGGCTGACTCCACGGCACTCACTCTAGCCTGGGCAACAAAGTGAGACTCTGTCTCAAAAAAAAAAAAAAAAAAAAGAGGGAAGGGCCTGGAGGGCCCCAGAGGGGGAGTTTCTGGGGGGCCAGGGGCATCTTCCCTCCTGCCTCGGCCACTGCCTCCCTCCTCACAGGCTCCTGCCTCGGCCACTGCCTCCCTCCTCACAGGCAGGCTCTGGGGGCTCCCACGACTCGGGTGTGTCTGGGTGGAGCTGTGGGTAGGTGGAGCTGTGGGTGTGGGGCTCTCGGAGTGGCCCTGGCCCTTTCTCTCCAAGACCAGGTGAGTCACTCTTCTCCACAGGCCTCTGGACGGTGCTGGAGCTGATACGCGGTTGCCCCACCTGCACCTGGGCCCCTTCCCCTCAGCACAGGGATGAGGGGAGAACAGCAGCGCCCCAGGGGGCAAAGCCCAGGCCCAGCCCATTCAGCTGATGTGAACAATTGGGCTCTCCCCGTCCCAGGACTCCGCCCCACAGGGTCTGGGGCCTCACTGGCCGTCCCCCCAGTTCCCATGGGAAATCCCATTAAGGACGCCCTGCCCCCACTGCCCAGAGCAGGCTCAGCCTGGCTGGAGCCACCCACCCCTGCCGCAGACTCGGGCCCAGGGACAGGAGTGGACCTGGGCAGCCAAGCACCTTGTGAATCGCAGAGCACAGGTGGCTTGAGGGTCTGTCCCCAGCCCTGCCCTGCTGGGCACTGGGAGGCCAAGGCCCTCTGGACCACAGGGGCCCTTTGGGAACCAGGCAGCTCTGCAAGGCTGTGGGCTGATGGGTGCTCCCTGGCGGCTCATGGCTCCTCATGTCCTATCTTGAGGGTAGCGTCCTTGGTCCCCAGAACAGGGTGGCACCTCAGGGAGCCTTTGTGTGGCCCTGCTGGGCCGCAGCTCCTCACGGGCCAGGTCTGCAAGTCCACAAGCCCCACACCCTTGCCTGGAGGGCTGGCCCAGGACAAGGCGGACACTCCCCTGTGCAAATCCCAGGCTGGAGTCCCAGGGAGGGCCGGGTGTGGTGTCTGAAGACAGGGCCCTCCGGGCCAGCAGATGCTGCCCACCAGCAGGGGGCACAGGGACTCGAGCAGGCACAGGACTCCACGCAGACCCCAGGCCTGCCCGCTGGCCAGCGGACGTCCCCTGCCTCCAGCGTTTCCAAGCAGCTGTCCACCCCTGAGCTTGGGGGCGATGGCTGGGCTGGGTTCAGGGGGCAGCAGACCCTGCTCTCCCCAAACCGCCCATGTGCAGCTCCTCCCGGGGTTGCTGGTGGCCACCCTGAGAGGCCCGTGACGTCCTGTCTGCATCTCCCACTAGGCCTGGTGGGTTCATAGCAATGCCCCAGAGGCACCCACACTCTGCCCCAGCTGAGGTGTGAGTGGGGGGCTCGGGGCCTCAGGGTTGTCCTGCTGTAGGAGGCAGGTTGGGGCGAGCCCTGTAAGGTGAGCTGAGGCAGCATTTGGGGAATGGGGGAAGCAGAGGATGCGGGGGTGCCCTGGGCTCCTGGCTCTCAGGCACCTAGGCCAGGCAGCAGATGGGGCATCCTGGACCCAGCCCAGGGCTCCTCTACCCCACCCCCGTCTCCCTGTCCCCAGCACACAGCGGTGGCTGTGGGGCCAGGCCTGGTGGGGGCTCCACCCACCCCCACATGTACTGAGAACAGAGGCTCCCTGGGACTCAGGTGGCTGTGGAAGAAACAGCTCCCAATGCAGTTTACTTGACGCGCCTTCACACGGCCATTCCCACCCCCGGCTGCACCCCCAGCCCGAGTATCGGGGAGCGCAGTACGGAGTCATGTGCAGAGGAGCCTGGGGCCCCCAGTCGGGCCACCCTCAGACGTGGACTGGACTTTAAAAGAGAGGATGCCGGTCACAGCAGAGGACCTGCACCCACCACTGAGCGCCCAGCCAGGGTGCGGCCGGTGCCACCAAGGCTCCTTTCTCTGCAGGGACCCAAGGGCTGCCTGCGTGGAAGCGGCACCTGGTGGCCTGGGCAGCTGGCAGGACCCTGGGACTTGGGCCACCAGGGAGGCCTGTGACCTGTGGGGTTTGGATGGGAGGGACGTGGGTGCCGGCCTTGAGCCCCGGCAGCTGCAGAGCCCGTCCCCGGGTGGCTGAGGATGGGCCGTGCCTGGCCCGGGCGTGGGGATCAGAGGGACAGCAGGGCCTAGAGGACTTTTCTGCTTAAGAACAAAAAGAGGCCGACAGGAAGCGAGGACCCTCGCTCCCGCGGCTCCTGGAGGCGTGTGGCCCCCACGTGGTGGTGCGGAGGGAGGGGCCTGTCCACCAGGCTCCAGAGCGCACAGCGGCTGAGCCCCCGCAGCAGCCCGGTGACCCTGAAGGCCGGGCAGGTTTGGCCGTTCGGATCGGCCTGCATCTTGGCTGCAGGTTTGGGGGCTGGGGGGGCTCGCTATGTCTCCTGGGGGGCCCAGACCCCCCACGGCCTCACTCCCAGCCCGGGGTCGCACAGACACCTGCTCCTGTCCCGGAAGCAGAGACCTCCACACGGCCAGATGCCCACCCAGCCCTGGGCAGCGCCGGCCCTTTGCGCGCTGGGCTCTGCGTCTGCTGAGCAGAGGGTGGTGCCGCCGGTCCTGCCGGTCAGACGTTGCTGACGCGCGCCTCCACGGAGGAGAAGGCGGTGGGGTCCGTGGGCCTGCCCGGGGGCCGCTCGCGCCTGACGTAGCGTGGCTTCCGCACTGAAACGGGGTCAGAGACAGGCCGGGTCAGAGTGGGGCCTGGGGAGCAGGGACAGCCTGGTCTTGGCCCTCGAGAGGTTCTTGGGAGTGGGTGGCACAGGCGTGGGGGCTGTGCACTCTGTCCCCAAGGACGCTCCTCTGTCCCCAAGGCTCCCGTGGAGCTCTGGCTCCTGTAAACACTCCTGGCGAGCCTGACCCAGCCGTTTCCTCTCGGTCAGACCCAGGGCCCTGCGCCCTGAGCACCTGGGCCTGAGTGAGGGCCGAGCTATCCCTTAGACAGGGGGCCGGTCACATCTGCACCACACGTTGCAGGGGACTAGATGGCGCCCCCAGAGGTGTGACCACGTCCTGAGCCCTGAGCCCAGCAAATGTGACCTTGGAAAAGGGTCTCTGTAGATGCGATTAAGTTAGGGTCTCAGATGAGACCGCCCAGGTGGGCCCCAAGTCCAGCAACCAGTGTCCCCTGCAGAGGGTGATGGAGAGAGGAGGGATGCGGAGCAGAGGTGGCGGCTATGGGAGGAGGAGGCAGAGACGGGGCGAGGACACGCCAAGGAGCCTCTGGGGGAGTCCCTCGCCCCACACAGCTGGATTCCTCACCCCCGGCCTCCAGGACCATCAGAGACTAATGGACTCTCGTTAAGTCACCCCGTTTGTGAAGTGGCAGCCCTCAGACACTTGGGCACCAGGAGCTGCTCAGATAGGCTGCCTCGAGAGAGGAAATAAGTGCCCTACAGAATGGGGCAGGTCTAGCCTTGATCTTGGAGCTATTCTGTCCCTGGAAAAGGGATATTGTCACCTGGGCCTCACACCAGTTCTCTGCACGGGGGGAAGAACACAGGCTGGGAGGGAGCTGGGAGCCCTGCTCTCGGCCGTGCAGCTGTGTGGCTCTGGGCTCCTAACTCAACCCTGCTCGTGGCCTCGTCTATAAAATGGGTCCTCCCCGGGCTGACCCCAGCAAAGCTGAAGCACAGGCTGCCCGGGAGGAAAAGGTACAGAGAAAATGGGGAGGGCCTGGGTGGGTCCCCCTCCCACAGGCTCAGCATCTCAGGAATAAGAGAGAAGAGCCTGGAAGCCATGGGGGCTCCAGGGAGCACCCACCAAGCCTGGGCTGGCCATGGCCCTGCCTTGTGGGACGGTCCCCTGGGAACCCCAGTTGGGTGGCTGAGATCCCAGAGACAGGCATGTGTTTGGACAACCCGTGAAGCACCCTAGGTCTGGCACTTTGAAACTCTGGCCCAGAGGTGAGAAGCCCCAGGGGGCGTGGCGGCTGCCCTTACCTGAGGACTGAGGTGGGGGGATCATCGCAGCCTTGAGAAGGAGAAAAAGACACTGTGAGTCGGCCCAGCACGGGCACCCGCCCGAGCACACTCAGCCGGGGGACGAGGTTACTTACGGCTTCTCCAGGCTGCAGGGCTGGGGCTGCGAGACAAGAAAGTGGCGCGTCACCAGAGGGAAGAAAGTGGCGTGTCACCACAGGGCATGGCACCCGAGGGTGGGAAGCTGCATCAATCAGCCCCAGCACCACAGGGCCACAGCGACTCTCAGCCTGGGGGTCCATGGGGCTGAGTCTCTGCACCAGGCCGGCCGCCCTCGACCACAGGGGAAGGAAGGAAGAGGACACAGCAGCCGCCAGAGCTGAGAGCCGCCTGGTCCCCGAGGAGACGCCCCACCTGAACCGGGCCCTGAGCAAGGCCCCTTGGTGCTGAGAGTAGCGCCAAACGCCCACCCTTCACACAGGGACCATCTCAATCCCCCGGGAACGTTTCTAGGAAGTGGCACAAGTGCCGCCACCCCTTCCCCTCGAGTCCCCCTTGCCAGTCTGCCCTGGGCCTGGACGTCCCCAGCTGCAGGCCACTTTCGTAGGGGTCCCTGCCTGCCCGCTCTGCAGCTGCTGGCACTACTCGGGACCCTCACTCTCCCTCGGGGCGTGCACGGGCTGGGGAGATACCTTTGCTTCTCCTGTAGAAGACCCTGGGGAGCTTGCTGGAGCGCTTGAGGTAGAAGAACCCAGCCACAGAGAGGATGAGGCCGGAGCTGATGAAGAGCGTCCCCAGGAAGAGGGAGGCTGCCACGTGAGGACCCCCTGCAAGCAAACCAACCGCCCAGAGGGCCCTGGAGCACCTGGCACCCCGGGACGCCCACCGTGAGTGGAAGACACGTGGCTCCCTGCGCACAGCTGGGCCTCACGGGAGCCAGCCTCGAGGGAGCCACGGGCTCTGCGTGCGGGCTCGGCCACCCCTGCAGCTTCAGCCATGCGTGGATGCCTGCCACGGGTCTGGGGGACGCACATCCTCTCCTGGCCTCGGCTGACCTCACAGGGCACTGGGACATCGAGAGCGTCACAGGCGCTGGCCCAGGCCAGGCGTGGGGGAAACACCTCCACACTTCCAGCTCCTGAAAGCTCCAGGACCCGGCTCAGCGCAGACCTGGGGCCCAGGCCCTGGTGCTCAAGGTCATGCCCTTCGACTTGCAGCAGGTGCTCCCACCTCTTAGACGCTGCCAGCCTCACACCTTCACCTGCTGGGGGCCAGGGCAGGGGCTGGTGGCCGAGGGCCCTGGAGAGGCAGTGACAGTCCACTGCGTGTGCTTTTAGGTGCTGGGGGAGGTGACTTTCTAGCCCTGAGACACAGGAGGGTTTGCCAGACTGGGGCCTTGCCCATCTGGCCCTGACACTGTGCCACAGGAGGCCAGCCTGGCCCGAGCTCACCCCACACTGAAACGCCGCTGCTCCGCATGGCCCAGGTGGCACTGGGCCTGAGGGCAGCTTGCAGCCCTCACTCTCTGGCGACGTGTGGGTCTAGCCCTCGAGGGAACCCTTGGGCCAGGCTCCAGGTCCAGCACGTCCCCTGCTGAAGGACGAGGGTCTGGGGTGACGTGACCCCACAGCCACCCTGTCACTGCGCAGAGGCATCCGCGCCCTGGGGCTGGGCCCTGCTCCAACTGCAGCCACGCCCACAGCCCCACACCACCTCCACTCACCTGGCCACACCCGCATCTCAGGTAGGGCCCAAAGCCAGGGAGACACGTCCATCCAGGAGGTGTGGACATCCCGTGTCCTCCCTGAGGACCAGGCATGACAGCCCCAGGCCCAGGTGGTGTGGCAGACATGTCTGTCTGGCATGTGTATTTGCAAACTGTCTCCTCGGAGCCCCAAACCCTAGAAGAGCCCCTCGAACTGGCAGGAGGACCTGGGAGGGCCCGTCCCCCTTCCTGCAGACTGAGGCCAGTAGCTTGGAGTGGGGCAGAGGCAGCCCAAGCCGTGCCAGTGTGAGTGTGGGCGTGTGTGCTGTGGCTGTGAGCACCTCCCCGGCCGCAGCTCTTCGGTTCAGCCGGTACCAGCTGACTCCCTGCGGCCCCGTCTGCTGACCAGGGCCCTGCCACACGGCGCCCTCGACTGGGCCTGAAGTTCGGATGTGGCCCAGCCTTGGCCAGCGTCAGCTGCCAGGGTCTGCAGCGGCAGTGGCTCCGACAAGCGCCCCACACCCAGGACCCCGGCAAGGCGGCTCTGGCCCAGGGAGCCAGAGACTTACCTAAATGTGGCTGTCCAGGGCTCCCTGCGCTCCTGTCTGTGGGGAGTGGCGTGCCCCGGCTGGCGACTGCAGGAGAGGCACTGTGGGGGGCTGGCCACAGGGACCCCACCGCTGACCCCCACGTACAGCCTGCAGGGGATCTCGGGGCCGGAAATGTGGAAGCCAAGTGGCCACAGGGGCGCCGCCCTCACCCCAGCCACCCAAGGGGACTTGGGAGGAGAGGGCTCCTGGGTGCTCACAGGCGGGCAGGGGTTGGGGGCGTGGCAGGGCCAACCCCATGGCCGTGGTGACAAGGACCTTGACTCCCACCAATTCTCCCAAGCCGGGGACGTGGACCCTTGGTGGGGCGGAGGGGGCACGTACGGCTTCTGCACTCGGAGCTGTTGTGGGCCAGAGAGGTCCCGTTCCAGCAGCGGATGCAGCTGGCACTCCCGTCCGCGTTCCGGCGCCTGTAGCAGCCTGCGCAGGGGAGGGGAGGGGCGGGGTCTCCAGCTACGGCAAAGTCCGTGTGGGCCGGCTGTCTTCTAGGAATCTCTCTACACTCTGAGTTTGTCAAGTCACTTTCCTTCAAGGACACTAACACACTGGAAGTGGAATGACGCTGGCACAGGTTCCCTCACCCCACCCACCAGGTGCTGGCAGCACCTCCCCTCAGCAGTGACAAATAAAAACATCCCAGCCTCTGCCTGATGGTCACCGGGTCACGGTCAACTGTGAGAGTGGCTGCCCAGCCCCCAGCCTGGCGTTCTTTCTGGCCGGCCCCTCGGCTCTCTGCAGAGTGTTTCTTCACGGGCCCCCACACAGGCTGCCTGGGCTGCTGCTGTCACCTCTGGCCCAGGCCCCTGAGCTCCGCGGCACACCTGGGAAGGTGTCTTTGCCACTGCGGGGAGGGACGTGGCAGGCGCACACTGGCAGCTCAGCGGCTGGTCTGGGGTCTGCTCGTGACAAAGTGGCTTACCTGGGCCACAGAGACTCGTGCCCGGGCAGGTAGCATTGGCGTCCGCCACATCCACGTCCACACAGCACTCGGGCTCCTGGGCCTAGAGAGGAGACAGCGCTGAGACACTGCGAGGATGCCAGCCAGGCAGCCGCCATGCCCGGCTCGGCCCTGGGCAAGGGCGTCCTGCAGGTGCGTCTCAACTCCCATGGCTCCGGCCTTCTCTGGAGTCAGAAGTGGTGACTGTCCGCACCCTGCTGGCCTGGGATTGCGGCGAGGACTTGCAGCCATCCACACTCCCCTGCCGGAGCCCAGTGTGGGCAGCCTCCAGGGGAACTTCAGCCTTGGACAGAGTAAACCAAAGCCCAGGGAAGGGACAGATGCCGGCTGGGGCTGAAGTCCTGCCACACCTGACTACAGTCTGCCGCCTCTCATGGTGCCTGCTTCTCCTCCTCCTCCTGGCAGGTGCTGGGAGCCCTCGAGGGCAGGGCGTGTGGCCAGTGAGCGTGAGGCCCGAGGAGACCACGGAGCAGTGGCCGGGCCTGTCTAGGGCGCCCAGGCAGCCCCAGACTCCCAAGGCCAGGAAGGAGACTCCTGCAGCTGGTCTGAACTGTGCTTCCCGGCCCACCCAGACGCTGACCCAGAGGCCAGACCCTGCGTGCCGGACCCTGCGTGACAGGGCTCAGCTCACACTACCCCACGATGGGGCCCCTCTGCATGTGAGGAAACAGCAGAAGCAGGAGGGGCTTCTGACCTTCTCGCCTTCTCCCCTGAGGCCGTAAGATCCACACTGGGGGGTGCCTCCCTGTGCCTGAGCTTCAGGAAGTCCTTCTCTCCGAAGACCGAAGACCGGGGGACGCGGAATCTGAGCTGCGATCCCCGCTCACGCCCGTCAGATCACACCCCCTGTCCCACAGCGTCTCCGGGACTGCCCACTTCTGTCAGACTCAGCACAGAAGACAGGTTTCCCTGCTTCTTTCCCTCCATTTAATCATGGCGGCTCCCGTGTCATGTGAAACTTATATCAAATGTGCTTTTTTTCTTGTTAATCTGTTTTTTGTTATATTAATAGACACCTCAGCTGTGAACCCCGCAGTGGTGAGAAGAGATCTCTCCTCCCTACAGCGGCAGGGAAAGTGTCCCAGCCCCTCCTGGCGCCTGCCCAGGCTGCTGTGCTCCTGCGCCCTACGGGGCTCCTCCCTCCCCAGCCCCCCCACCTCCCTGCTAAGCTCTACTGCTGCGACCCTGAAGTCTCCTTCGTGGGAAATGGAAGCACGTTTTTCTGGACTAGGGTGACACATGAGCACACAAGGCACCCTGAGCCTTGGCACTGGCGATTGCCCCACGCCTGCAGAGGCCGTGGCAGCCATAGAACATGCACCTACAGAGCCCGCTGGTCTTGCTGACATCCCCGGCAGTCCTCTGGATGGCCCCAGAGGAAGTGCCCTGGCCAGGCCAATGTTTTGGGAAGGACGAAGTCTCGCCTGCTGTGTGTGTGTGCAGCGCCGACGTGCCCAGTGCTGGCATTCCTGCCCTGTGCACGGGCCGGCACCCCCCACAGGGCCTCAGCTTGTGTGTTTATCACAGCTGGGCTTTTGCTTCTGGTGACCTGAACGTGGTGAGCAGTGAGGGTGTGACCGAGGGAAGCTGGGAGTGTCTCCACCAGGGAGGGGCCCAAGCCCGCGCAGGGCCCAGTTCCTCACAGTGGCCTTGGACAAGCCAGTGAGGGTGCCCCCACCCCTCCTGCCCACCCTCTTCCTGTGAGGCCCCACCCATCCCTGGCTCAAGTCCAGAGCTGCTGCCATCAGCTCTTCCCGACACTAAAGCGCAGCACACGGTGTTGCTGGCTTGGCAGAGCCACTCCCAGAAGGAGCCAGGATGCCCCACCAGGGGACCCTGCCCCACTCTGCCACTCTCCTGAGCAGGTGGTAACCCAGCAGGCAGCCCAGGGCTCTGGCCAGTTCCAGCTGGGGTAGCTCTGTAGAGACCCTATTTTAGCTATGGCGACAGATCCAGTTTGGCAAAAAGGGAAACTTCTAGAGGGCAGAACAGAACAGGAGCCAGGCAACAGGGGCTGTGCGTTTGCTGCCCTGTGAGACACAGTGGACCTGGACTTCCTGGAGTGGACACATGGACACGTGATGGGGCACCTACCATGCTTTCCGTGGACTTGGTGGCAACTCCCAGCAGAAGGCCGGCCAGGAGGGCGAGGCTCCGCAGTGCCATGTGGGGGACCAGGAGGGCGGGGCCTGCAAGGGGAGGGGCACATGGGGAGGGCGGGGCCTGCAAGGGGAGGGGCACATGGGGAGGGCGGGGCATGCAAGGGGGGAGGTACACAGGGAGGGCAGGGCCTTCAAGGGGTGGGGCACATGGGGAGGGCGGGGCCTGAAAAGGGGGCACGGCCAAACCGGGAGGCGCTCGGGGCAACAGGGAGGAGGGCTGGAGTGGTGCCCAGCAGACCCCGCCTGTCAGGGCAGGAGTGGTGCAGGCGGGGCCCTTACCTGCCCCTCTGGGGTGGGAGCCACCGACATCAGGCCCTTGCCTGCCCTGGGTGGTCAGTGGTCAGCGTGGCCGGAGCTCATGGGCCTAAGCGGAGCCCTGCGGACCTGCATGAAAAGACAAGGCGGGGTAAGGACAGCCGTGTGGTCTCGGGTGGGGCTCAGTCCTTTCCCCGACGGGATCTGGCCGTCTTGGCTCAGTCGGGACCTTAGGAGTTGAGGGCGGTCGCCCCTGTCACGCAGACACATCCTGTCCCAGCGAAACCCTAATGCGAGTCGGGGGCGAGTCCACCCAGCAGCTTCCTGAGGGGCCGCGGGGAGCCTCTGGGCGACTCAGGCCCATCTGGGACCCTCCTCCTCAAAGCTTTCTTTTTCAGGATGGAGGAAGGCATGAAGACGTCATCTCGGGGTGATAAAAGGAAGCATCGGAGCCAGGGCCCGGGGGGACAGGTGAGGCCGGTGACGGTGACGGGACCCCACACAGAGCGCGCAGGCGCGACACACGCTGAACCCCTCGACGGCCGACAGCCGTGTGACTCACATTTCCAGTGTGCAGGAAACCACGCTCCACCCTGCACAACCCTTGCAGGAACACCATTTGTAATATTTCAACAGATTGCTGCTGACTTGCAAGGCAGTAATCAGAACCACAGTCTGTCCTAAGCACGCATGCGCAAGCATCTTGCCACACAAAGGTTACCTCTAACCTGACCTGGCGACGCAGCTGCTGGCAGCCTCCGACTCGGACTGACGTCAGCAGCAGCGGCCGTCACTTCCCGGTGGGTCCTCGGACAGAAGGCACGGAGGACGCCTCGGCTTAGGCCGGGGATGCGGAACTGCTCTCCGACTGGCCGCTGTGGTGGGCAGCTTCCCACCTGGGGCTGTGGGAAGAGAAGGCTGTGGGCCCCGCGCAGCTGTGAGCTGCAGGGGGGTGAAGGCTGAGGTGGCTGCAGCTGCAGTCCCCTCAACAGGATGTCACTCTACCCTGGGTTCAGGCCATAGCCAAAACCCTGTCCTGCAAAGCCTCCCTGAGCGCCCCTCCTGATCCGGGGGTATCTGCCTTCTTTAAACAGTTTCAGGCACCCACACATTAAACATGCGTGCTCTCCCCAGACTCCCGCCTCTTCTCCTGACGGGAATGAAGTCCTTGTAGATAGCGACATACTGGTGCCACGGTGGCAGCACGCTCCCTACCTACAGGACGTGATCAAGTCTTTCCTTTTTGTCCCTTTGACACCTGCGGGCAGAGAGCATGTTCCCCCACCCCACGGAAAACCCTGGACATCCTGGACCCTAAGAGGCATCCCGGAGTCACCAAACACCATTTCAGTTCAGGAATCAAAGCCCAAGATTTCAATCAACCCTTTCACCTGCTATTTAGTCAACTTTACTGAGGCATAATTTACATAAAATAAATCACATCCACTTAAAGTGAGTTCTGACAAACTGTACTGCTCCCCCGTGAAGCTGCCACCAGAACCAAGACAGGGCGTCGCCGCCACATGCACCCCTCTGCGGTCCCTCCTCCCTCAGTCCCTGGCCCCAGGCAGCCACTGAGCTGGTCTTATCCCTGCAAATCAGCCTGTGTGCTCTGCAGTTTTACATAAATGGATCATACGATACGCACACTCTGTGTCCGGCTGCTTCCGCCCAGCCTAACGCCCTCCAGATGCGTCTGTGTCACTAGTGCTGTGCTCTGTGGCCGAAGGGTCCTCCACTGTGTGGCCGCACCATCTCCCTTACCCATTCGCCTGCTGCCGCATACCCGGGGTGTCTCTGCCTTTCGACGACTGTGAGTCCTCAAGTCCTACAGACATCCTCGTACACGTCTTTCTGTGAACGCTGCTTGGGTTTCTCCTGGGAAATACCCAGGAGTGGGATGGCTGGATCCCAGGGAGGCTGATGTGTAGCTTTCAAAGAAACTGCTAAACCGTCTTCCCCGGTGGCTGTACCGTTTCCCCTTCCCACCAGCAGTGGGGAGGGCTCTGCTGCTGTGTCCTCAAACACACCACCTGATGTGTGGACAGGTGTGCAACAGTATCTCACTGTCGTTACAATTTGCATTTCCCTGAAAACAGATGATGGTCAGCATCTTTTCGTGTGTTCATTAGCCATGTATAGATCTTTTGTGAAGAATATGTTCACATCTTTTGCCCATTTTGTTTTGTTTAATTGGGTGATCTTCCCACTATTGAGTTGCAAGAGTTCTTTTTTTTTTTTTGATACAGAAGTGTTGCTTTGTTCCTCAGGCTAGAGTGAGTACGTGGTGTCAGCCTAGCTTACAGCAACCTCAATCTCCTGGGCTCAAGCCATCCTCCTGCCTCAGCCTCCCGAGTAGCTGGGACTACAGGCACGCACCACCATGCCCGGCTAATTTTTTCTATATATCTCATATATATAGATATAGAGATATATTCCTTAATCTAAATTAAATAATCAGCATAGAGATGGGGTCTTACTCCTACTGTCCAAGCGCTGGTTTCGAACTCCTGACCTCCGAGCAAACTCCCCTGGCCCCTCGGCCTCCCCAGAGTTGTAGGGATTAACAGGTGGAGTGGACACCACAGCGCCCGCAACCAGATTGCAACGTTCTTATAAAAAATAGTATCTTCTACCGACTATATGTAACATCGGCACACAAAATAATTATATTACATACCTTCTGCCTGCCTTAGCTTTTCATTTTCTTATGGGTATCTTTAGAAAGCAAAATGTATTTCCGCTTTTAATAAGTCTTCTGGATAATATAGATAGACATAATTTTATCCCATTTTATAGGTCTATGCAATTTTTGTGTCCATGAGGAATCTTTGCTTTTGGCCGGGGTACAGTGGCTACAATGCCCTGTATCCTAGCACTCGAACTGGGAGGCACCGAGCGCAGGAGGATCAGTGGAGGCCTGGAGTTCGGCACCCAGCCTCAGCAAGAGTGAGACCCCCGTCGCTCCTAAAAAGAAATAAACTTAACTTGGCACTAAAATAATATAAAAATTAGCCAGGCACTGAGAAGGAAACACATGCCTGGTAGTACACAGAATAGATAAGAGAAACAGACAAGATATAAGACAAAGAGGCATCACCTGGAGCCCAGGCGATTTGACGCTTGCTGTGAGCCTTGCCTGGGATCGCCATGGACCTTAGCCCGGGGCAACGGAGTGACAGAACTCAAACT